TCTTAAGAAGGTTACTCTTACTCTTAGAATAAAATAATGACCGCAACTTGAAAATTGAAATGTATCTCGGGCAAATTCTTCTTTCAAAATCATAGCCCAACTCCGGAATTGATTCGACTTAAATTCGACTTTCGACTTAAATTCGAAAGACAATTTCATTGAAACTCTGGGACGAATTTTTACGTATTCAGGATATCTCCGAACGAGAATGTATATTTTTGTCCTTTCAAATCTATCACAGGCTACGTAGTAGTTCAAACCTATCACAGACTATCACAGACTACATACTTTTCCCAAGACCTTTCCCCCCAAATCTTTCTTTTGCATGTTTTCGAAACTCGATCCAATTTTCTCTCATTTCATCTCATCCAATCTAATGCCATTAAACGATTTCCGGCAAAAATTTCAAATTGTTAACCATTTTTTTTTCATTTTTCTTTTCTTTTCTTTTCTTTTCTTGTCTTTTTTCCATCTTTCAATCGACTCGATGGGAAAATTTGGAATTTTAAATTCATTGAGAGAAAAATTATTCAATAACGATTCTTTGTGAGATAATTTTCCGTCTGGATCTTCATTTTTGCTCAATTTACTTTGTCCATGATTTTTATAATAATTTGAATCTTTTCGATTTTTTTTTTATTCCCATTTAGAAAGCGTCAATTTCTCACAATCACATGCCTTTTCTTTTCTTTTCTTTTCAGCAAACATCACGAATTTTTCGCAACGTTATCACAGAAAATTCTTAGTAGCACGTTTTATTTGGTAATAAAGTTTTGTACAAATGGGAATTGATCATTTGAACTCTTTAGTTTTAAATGAAATCAAAAGGAATCAGAAGATCGAAGAAGAAGATCGAGTCTCATTCTTTGATCGCATTTGAAAAATGAAGAATTGATTGCTGCACCAGGAGAGTGTTTACAAAGAGCATAAAGTACGCCATGGTCTTCTCAACTTTCCCCTTTCCCTTTTCCCTTTCCCTGTAGCTACCTCTTTTCGGATTGTTCTTCCGATAGCGTGTCCATCTTCATCGTAAGCAAGCGCAAGCGTAAGCAAGCAAGCAGCAGGCAATCCGCCTTTCTGAGATGGTGACATCTCTAAATGAAAAAAAGATGTTGAGAAACAAAAATTTTGCAGAAAAGAGTAAAAACTAGTTTAATCTTTCTTAATCTTAATGCTTAATCAACTCGTAAACTTTTTAGCAACAAAAAGTACCTGTGATTGTCGATAGCCACGTTGAATCACTTGCAATTTCTATCCCTTCTTCCTTCAGGTGACGTTCTTCTCCCTTTTCTTTTTTGATCGGATTTGAAAAGTGAAGAATTGATTGCTGCACCAGGAGAGTGTTTACAAAGAGCATAAAGTACGCCATGGTCTTCTCAACTTTTCTCTTTCCCTTTTTGAGCAATTCGTTGCACAGATTTACAAAAATCTCATATCAATCGGGTCAATGATAAACGTGAATGTTGAGCAAGACGATTTTTTAGTTTACAGGAGATTCTCATTGTTAACTAGCTCCATACTTGATGTTCAAATGGCTTGTAAACTGGACTAAGTCATGTCAGTTTGATTCAGCTTAGAAGCTAGGTACAGAACTGGTTCAGGGTCAAGCCAGTGCTAAACAAACAAGCTCTTAGCCCAAACAAAATCGGTTTTGTTATCTAGGAGCTGGCTGACCCTGATGCAATCTGCTTTGCTATTCAAGAGCTTAACAAGCTAGTGATTAAACGATTCGAGTGGTACCAAAGTTCATTTGCCTCTTTTCCCCTTTCCGGTAACCTTTTCCCCTCAAATGACCGTACATACGTGTTCTCTCGAAAAATTCTCTGCCCATTCTCATAAAAATCCCCTCGTTTTCCCAAGATAACAACTTAAAAATGCAACTTTTACTCCTTTTTTTCCCCCAAATCTATTTATCTTTATTGCATTTTTCTTGTCCATTCCTACCCAATAACCATTCAAAGCAAAGATCTGAAATGAAATCTTTGCAAAGATCTTTCACTCCTTTTTCCCATCTCTCATCGTAAAATTGTCAGAATATAAAATGACATAGAAAGAGACGCGTACCTTTACATCAAGTGAAGATATCGAAATTTGATTTTGGTTCTGAATTTGTTATCCACTCTTAACTCAATTCTATGGGTTGAAAAAAAAAATGAATGATTAAATCTTTTTCCAAAAGGCGCTTTTTAGAAACGATACCGTAATCCAGTCGTTTGACTGAAGTCGTCTAAAAAGTGTCTCGACAACAGGAGTACGGTATTTTGAAACTTGTCATTCATTTTTTTTAAATATACAGGGTGTTCCAAAAAAAAAAGTCAGTTCAGCGCGATTTTTCTCAGAATTTCTAGTGGCTGTTTTTGTGCCAAAGTGAATTTTTTTGAGCGGGTAAATCTTTGGTATTTTGTCATTCTTTCCCGATTACATGACAATACATGAAATTTCTTCGCCACCATGGTCACCACCATGAGATTTTTGCCATAAAATTGAAACTTTCTACTGGCATCGTGGTGTGAGGCGTGTTAGACGTGTCATATTAGAGTTAATATACAAAGATTTTTAGCCAAACACTTTTCTAATCTACATTATAGGATAAACTGTCGTACATAAGAGATTTTCAATTGACCTTTTTTTTAAAGAAGTGTCCCGTTTTTCCAAGAAAACGCTGATCAATAAGGATATGGTTTAAATTGTAATTTGTAGTTATCCTGCCGTAAATACTGTAATAGTACCCCACCCCCCTCGTACAGTCGCGTAGTCGCAAAAGTTTTTTAGTTTTTCATTTTTTTCAAAGCTCCCGTATTTTCAAAAAATGCGTTTTTGGTATCAAAAAATAGCTGAAGTTCAGGGCTATTTTTTGATACCAAAGATAATGACGGTGCGAATTGTTGCGTAGTCTAGCTTTGGACGCGTCTTTCTCGACACTGGCTTCTGCTACAATGCGCGCTTAGGTATCAAAAAATAGCCCTGAATTTCAGCTATTTTTTGATACCCCAAACGAGCATTGTAGCAGAAGCCAGTGTCGAGAAAAACGCGTCCAAAGCTAGACTACGCAACGCTCTGCACCGTCATTATGGGGGTGGGGTACTATTACAGTATTTACGGTAATAGTGTTTATGATGCACCACGATGTCAGTAGAAAGTTTTAATTTTATGGCAAAAATCTCATGGTGATGACCATGGTGGCGAAGAAATTTCATTTATAGGAAGCCATGGAATCGAGAAAGAGTGACAAAATATCAAGAATTTACCCGCCCAAACTATTCACTTTGGCACCACAACAACAGCCACTAGAAATTCTGAGAAAAATCCGCACTAAAATGACTTTTTTTTGGAACACCCCGTATAGACAACATTTCAGACAATGCTTTAAAATGGAGAAATCGAAGAGTTTCAAGAGTCGATCTATTTCAAGAAATTCCCCTTTTCCATGACCCCGAAATCCAGTGATTTTCTTTTTCTTTGCTCGAAAAGTGAAAACCTTTCCAAGATCTCCTTTTTTTGCTCTAATTTCTTTTTTTTTCTCATCCCTTTCTCTTTCTATTCCATTTTTAGTTACCAATTTTGATTTTATATTCAAAAATCAAGAATTCCCCATATTCTCACTGATCTTTTGACATTTTAAAACCATTTTCCAATATTTTATTTATTCAAACTTTTTCCGATCTTTAAAAAAACCCAATTTCCCTCTGTTTCCTGAAATTTTGACCCCAAATTGCCACAAATTTTCCCTTCTTGATTCTTTTTTTGATCATTTTTGTTTGTCCATTTGGCCATTCGGGTTTTTCTTTCAAAAACATATATAAATGTGTAAAACTGGAGCCATTTATCGTTTAAGATTTAAAAGATAACCGAAATAAAACTTGGGTTTTTTTTGCTTGGGACAAAAAGGTTGAACCGCTTGTTTTTCTCAAATCTTTCACTAGTTATTGTAATCGTTTTGTATTATTTTTTTCTCTATTTACCATTTGCTCATTGTTAGGTCAATCGTAATGGGGAATGTATGAGTCACAAATTTGAGTCAATCTTATTCTTTTTCTTCTTCTTTTTTTTGAGTAATCATTCTTAGTTTTGATTTCAAAAAAAAAAAAGATACAATGTTTTGGGGTATAAAAAGGAAACTTTTCACCCCAAAAGATTGATCTGCTCTGATCATTCAATGCGTCAGAAAGGATATGTTTATAAAAATGGAGCACAAAGTATATCATGAGCCTTGTTTTGATGTACGTTGAGCTGAAATTTTTTGGTAAACGCACACTCTCTGGCGATGTCTCAGCTTTTCACAAAGTAATGATTTTGATTTTTCCAGGAAACTTTAGAATTCAGTGCGCTAGAAAGCGAGCGTTTAGTCTAAATTTGAACACAAAATACACCAGTTTTGCATTTGCATTTGCACAGAAACACTTTGAATAACTCAAATAACAAAATCATTCATTGCATTCATTCTAAAAACATTAAAAAGTCTAAAAATCTATTAAATATCTGTAATTTTTAATGCTTTTTCATTCTTTTTTTCTATATTTTCTATATTTACTTCATTTTTATTCCCATTAAACCTTTAAAAGTTCAGTGCAGACAAATTTCTCTTATCTCAAAAGTACATTCCACTCAAAAAAAACCAAAAAAATTATGTGAAACTATTCCATTATCAAAATTTTCATATTTTATCTTTAAAAATATTTACTATTTAAGTGAGATTTTTGCAATTTCAGCCAATTTCAGCCAATTTCCCCCACCCCACCCAATCCACAATCTTATTCAAATAAAAACACAATCAATAACAACAAATAAAAAAAAATTATATACAAATATAAAAAAAATTTAAACAAAATTAAAAAAAATTTAATCCAATTTTAACCTAAATCTCATTGATAACATGTTTTTTTCTTTCTATTTTACTATATAAAGAGATTATTATTTTTTTTTTGCGATATTTTTCTCCTCATTTTTTTTTCTTTTGCTATTTAAAGATTTGATAATAAATTTTAGCTAATCTCAGCAAAATGGATCCCAAAGAGACGCTGTTGAATGAGAAAATTGGAAAAGAAAGGGGTGAGTTGGGAAAGCGAAAAGGGGAATTCAACATTGGAAAAACCTAAATGCAGGACTAAAATCTGAGCCTGAACTAAGCTTAAACTGACTTTAAGCCAATCCTGACTATGACATCCACAAACTGATTTATCTCAGAATTACCCTTGAACTAACCTTGCCTTGATCTCAAGCAAATTCTGGTTCTCTTTCACTTTAAATTCACCAGATCAGACTCTTAACTAATTGGACCTTCTGTAAGTTGACCAGGGCTGACTCTGAGCTAGATCTGCTTACCAGGATCTCGACAACAACTAGACCTATGAGCCCTGCCTGAGCTGACCCTGGCCTTGATGCTGAGCTAAGCTTACCTACCCTGCTATCACCTTAAACGACCTTAAGATCAACCCAGCTCAAGACCTAAATCTAAGCATAAGAAAAGAAAATTAAATCTAAGAAAATCTATTTCAACTTTCGATCTATAATTTTGCGTTTTTGAGCCTCAGGGTCAGAGATTTCAAAAAGTTTTTGAAACTAAAGTCATAATCAGTTTGTTTGTTTGTTTGTTTACAATTTGTCTACAATTTGTCTACAATTGTCTACAATTTGTCTACAATTTGTCAACAATTTTGTTACTTATTCCAGATTCCCTGGATGTAAACGATAGCGAAGTCGCTGAAGAAAACGAGAAAACCTATTGGAGAAATATTCTGCTCGCTGCTTTGGTCAATCTCTTATCGACGATTGAGAGTACGATTATTATCAATGCACAATGGCCATATTTACAAAAGGTTTAAATAAGTGATAAGAGTAAATTCTTAAAAAAAAAGTGATTTAGTTAGACGAAGATGTGAGCCCAACCTTCATGGGTTACATCAATTCCTCGTGCAAAGCCGCTCACGCCATTTTCGCCATTCTTTTCGGCGCCCTAGCGTTTAGGACAAAGAAATTACGGTAATCAAGAGCTAAGCGCTTAAAACATTCACCCTTTAGCCTTTTCATAATGTTGGGCCGTTTTGTGACAATTTTCGGGTGTATTTTCTTTGTGAAAGCTGAGAAAATGGAGGAATACTCGAAATATCTCATCTTCCTCTCCTATTTTCTCTTCAGTATTGGAGACAGTGAGTTGAAAAATGATATATTACCCAGCTCTAATCTTTTTAGGTTCTTTAATGTTAATCCGTGGCTATGTGGCCTCAGTGAGTGGACCGAATGATCGAGCTTTAGCCTTTGCCGCGTTGGCCATGGCAAATGTGTTGTCGATGATCTTTGGAGCCGGTGAGTTTTATGAGATTTGCATTTTATGATTTAAAAATAGACTACAATATAAAGTGGGTCATTACTGTATTACTGTACCTATATAGAACTGTAACTGAATAATCTTAAGCTTGATTGACAAGTACGAGATGTTTTTTCATTGTTTCCCCATTCTCCATCATTACTGTAGCTTTATAGAAGTTTATAGAAAAGAAAGCTCAATACTTTTGACAATAATCTTCCTAGAAATCATAGAGTACATTCGGCATGGACACTATAAACTACAAACGCTTCTAATTTCCTTCAAATCTACCCGATTCACATGATTTATAGCTCAAAAAATAGAGAATCTTAAGCTTTAAGCTTCAGCTTTAAGCTTCAGCTTTAAAAGCTTCAGCTTTAAGCTTCAGCTTTAAAAGCTTCAGCTTCAGCTTTCAAATGAACTAAAGCATACACACAAAAAATGCTAAAAGTTACAAGAAAATTATTGCTTCGACTACGCACGAGTACGCTTCGTTTCGAGTCAGCACTATTAAACCACTGTAACTTTTCTCTAGCATTTATATTCTTCCATGTGCTTTAATTCATTTAAAAGCCCTTGAGATTCTCTATTTTTTGAGCTATAAATCACGTTAATCCGACAGATTTCAAGGAAATTAGAAGCGTTTGTAGTTTATAGTGTCCATGCCGAATGTACTCTATGATTTTCAGGTAGATTATTGTCAAAAAGTATTGAGCTTTCTTTTCTATAAACTTCTATAAAGCTAATCCGACAGATTTCAATCAAATTAGAAGCGTTTTTAATGTGACAGTTCGTCATTTTTGTAGTTTATCGTACCCATTAATAAATAGGTAAAGCAGTAAATTGAACACATAACTTTTTAGACAAACCCCATGTGAATATGTAGATAAGTTTCCGATATCGTACTGTTCATTGTTGTACTGTACTCGTGCTCTTTCTCAACTCCTTTTTCCCTTTCCCTTTCCATTTCCCATCTTTTCAGGTTCTCTACTCCTCTTTTCTCTGATCGATTATTCGGATTTTCATCCATTCGGCATCACCGTCCACATGTACAATTTCCCGATCTTCATCATAATTCTCCTCAATATTCTCGTGATGGGATTAACGCATTTTGGATTGGAAGAACATCGAGAAAGACTTAAAAAGAAACATCAGAAAAATGGTCGGTTTGTTGATCATTGAAAGGGTTTTGTCTCACTTATTCCCATTGCCACAAACGAAGAACTCCTTAGTTCTTCCAATATGGTTCCAATATAGTTCTAATATGGTTCTATATCTAATCTAATCCGACATCTCTAATTATAAGGAGAAGCTAGAGATAGTAGTGGATAGTAGATCAACTCAAATCCGTGCCAATGCCAATTGCCAGGCTAGAGTAGATCAGAAGCCATATCCTGTCTTGATTTCTAGATTTGCTGCAGGTCAAGGCAAGTAAAAGTCAAAAAAAAGCTTCTGGCTTTGTGTGGTCAGATTCTAAGGCTTGGGAACATTTATGTAAAGAATGTGATCTACAAATTCTTTCTCAAATTTACCAAAAATTCTAGGTGAAAGTGGCTGGCATCAACTGAAATCCGTACCAATTTTCCTCGTTTTGTTGTGTTTCTTCGAGAAAATCGTCACCTCAACATCGCTGACAACAGCTATCACGTAGATATTTCATTCGAATCCTGAATATTATCTTAGATATCTAAATATCTATATGAGATGATAGATCTCATCAATTCTATCCATCAATTCTTTGATCATCACTTTCCAGTATCACTTTCCAGTATAACTTTCCAGTATCACTCTCCAGTATAACTTTCCAGTATTACTTTCCAGTATCACTCTCCAGTATTACTTTCCAGAATCACTTCCCCAATCGCGACCGAAGTTTTCGCATGGGACAAAAGCAAAACGGTTCAGGTTGATTTTCTAAAAAACAAAATATTTAAATATTCGATTTCTATATTCTTTATTTTAAGCTCAATTCTTTTTCTAGGTGATGTCCGGTTCAAATGCAACAATCGGAATTCTCGCTTTGATCACTGTTCTTATCTTTATGCTTGGGAAAATTGGGAACAAGTATGTACAAATATTAAAAGAGAAAAAAAACGATAAAGATAAAGAAATAAGCCATCAATGAATAAGGAAAGAAAAGTGTTTCGGGTTTATTTAGAGTAAAGGGCTTCAACTTTTCATATCGTTATCTGTGAGTACATCTGGGGATAGGCTAATTTCCGCAACTGGGTCATTTGTGCAACTAGGTCTTTTGTGCAACTAGGTCTTTTGCTCAACTCGCCATAACTTTCTTCTAAGTCGGCCAATCTTTATGGTTTTGGTGTCATTTTGTTACACTTATTGAGATCTACAAAATGAAACCAAAATCATAAAGATTAGTTTACTTAGAAGAAAGTTATGGCGAGTTGCGCAAATGAAATTGCGGAAATTAGCCTACCCCTAGATCTGTACACTAGCTCTTTATTACCAATTATTGTTTTAAAAGATATTCTATCAATTAATTGAATAACATAATGAGAAAGAGGGATTTCTGACAAAAAAATTGCAAATTTTCGTTTCTTACATTCTTGACACAGTGGGTAACGCGATCGTCTCTCGCTTACACAACTCGGGTTCGATCCCCGTAGATACTCCGATTGTCTCTCGCTCACACAACTCGGGTTCGATCCCCGTAGATACTCCGATTGTCTCTCGCTCACACAACTCGGGTTCGATCCCCGTAGATACTCCGATCGTCTCTCGCTCACACAACTCGGGTTCGATCCCTGTAGACACTCCGATCGTCTCTCGCTCACACAACTCGGGTTCGATCCCCGTAGATACTCCGATTGTCTCTCGCTCACACAACTCGGGTTCGATCCCCGTAGATACTCCGATTGTCTCTCGCTCACACAACTCGGGTTCGATCCCTGTAGACACTCCGATCATCTCTCGCTCACACAACTCGGGTTCGATCCCCGTAGATACTCCGATTGTCTCTCGCTCACACAACTCGGGTTCGATCCCCGTAAATACTCCAATTTTTGTTTTTAAAAAGTTAAAAGCTAAGATGCACAACTACATAAAATATCTAAAGAAAAGATTATTTACATTGGTTTATTGGGGGCTGAGAAATGACGAAACGACGTAAGGACGGACGAACAGACGAACTTGCCTCTGATATTTACTAAATCTTCTCAATTATTCTCTTAGAATCGCGGCGTGGAGAATTTTTTTGACATGCACGTTGGTGTTCTTCGCATTTTTCTTCCTCGTTTATCCCCATTCGATTATCAGTGAAAAGATTACGATGAAAACACGTGAGTTTATTTGAAAAAGAAAGGAGAAAATGATAAAAACTTGAATTCATTTCATCTTGAATCTGAGCTGATCTCAGATCCAGGATTTTTTCCAGACAAACTCTAAAATTCTACACATTATAGGATACCGTAATCCCTGTCTCTTTACTAACTTATTTTTCAAATTTCCAGCCGATTCCCCGTTCGGTTGTGATGTCTCGAAGTATGGCTGGTGCATGGACACTCTCCGTCCATCTCCATATCTCTATTTCTCGCTTCTCATCATCTCATTCGGAATCTTTTTCCCGCTTGCCAATATCTCTCTTGATACGGTCTACTCAAAGATTTTAGGAAATATTGATCAAGTGAGTGATCAGATCAAAGATTTATGGTTTACCGATAGTTGGGTCAGCAAATCGTGAAATTCATCTCATTCTAGAGCTTCTTTCAATCCGCTATCGTCGCTGCCGATGATCTCTTTCAAATTCTTTGTCCATTCATTATCACGTGAGTTTCGAAGAGAAAGCGAAAAAGAAAAAAAAAATTGCCAACTTTTTACAGTCACTCGTTCGTTTTGGCCGGTCATCCAATGGTTTTCGCGATGTGGGCAGCCCTTTGTGCAGTCGGAGTGATCGCATGGACATTGAATAGCTCACAGTTGAAAAGATCCACCGAGGAAATGGAAAATATCGATCGATTCGAGGAAACGATTCAATCGAATCAAGAGGATTTGATGGAGAATGGAAAAACAATGAAAAAACATCTCGTACTTGTCAATCAAGCTTGAGATTATTCAGTTCTATATAGGCACCGTAATCCCTGTCCCTTTTCCCCTATTTTGATCGTTCAGAGTTGTCGGTTGTAGGTTTAAAAGTACCGTAATCCCTAGCCTTGCCATTTTCTGACGTCTTTTCTCGGCTACCGTAATCTCTTCAGTTTTTCCAACTATCCACATTTCGGCGGATTACGGTCGTCTTTGGAAACACTATATCATTTCTTGCATAATCTATTTTTTATCCACTTTACCAAAAGTAAAGTACTCCTTTAAGTATTGTAATTATACAGTAACTTTTGAAGACCTTGTAGAAGCCTTGTATAGCCCTTCACACATTAAATATTCATGTACAGTCTTAGATTTTTGAAAAATTTCCATATTTTATTCATTCCCAAATGCGGGTTCACTTTTTAAACAATTCCAGCATTTTTTTTTGTGTCGTGAGATTTCCTTTTTCTTTCGTGAAACTATTTGAAACTTGTAAATCCACTTGCCAACATTTCTATAGTCTAGTGAATAAAGAAATTTTTGAAATAAGGTACTTTTAAAAAAAAAAAAATGTCACCCATTTTGAAGTACCGCCTTCTCCATGAGAAAAGAAATATTACTAAAGTACACCAAATATGCTACAGTTTCTACAGTACACAAAACGGATCTCATCCACATAGAGGGAACATTCGAATGCGAGCACCAAGTATTACTTGTAGAAAACAATTTCAAGTTTCAACCGCAATAAGCACAACTTGTTGCTGCACAAAAGCACAAAAGATAATGCTGTTGGTACAAGGTTTGGACGAGGTTGCAGGCATAGTCGATGATGATGTAAAGAATACAAATCGAAACAATTTGCCCGACTTCATTCCCGCCAAGGAATGGCCAGCTAATTCGCCCGACCTTAATGTTATGGATTTCCGTGTTTGGGCAATTTTGGAGCAAAAAGCATGCACAACAAAACATGCAAACGTTGAAAGTCTGAAAAAGGCTCTGAAGAAAGCCTGGGCGGAAATTCCACAAAGTACTCTGCGGGCCGCCGTGGAAAGTTATCCACAGCGTCTTAAAGCCGTTATCAAGAATAAAGGTGGCCATATCGAATAATTTGTTATTTTTTAAATGAATATGATTACTGTTGTTAATTTTAAATAAAGTTTCCGTTCATATTTCATTACGATACACGGTTCTGAGTCTGTAACCATACTTATGCCGCACCCTGTAGAGTAGAGTAGAGAATATATGGAGAATAGAATAATACATCATATATAGAGAATATATGATGTAAAGAATAGAGTCGAGTAAAGCAGAATTTGTGTATTGCCTTGAACGGCGTGGAGAATGCCTTGAACATTCTTTTCTTAATAGAAGTTCATTCAAAATTTCTCGTTATCTCTCGTTTTATCCTTGAGAAAGCAAGAACTATTGTGAATTTCTGAGTTCTACTTACATTCTGCAAAGTATTCAGCCGACTAAGCAGAATAAATATCTTTAGTTTAGCTTTGAAATATACCGAGAAAAAATTGGGTCAACAGATTAAAAAAGAGACAGGGATTACGGTATCCTATAATTCTATAATCCTTACGGTATCCTATAATGTGTAGAATTCTAGAGCTCTGTTGACCCAATTTCAGATTTTTCAAGGATTTTTATTTCAAATCTGCATTGTTTTTTGTGCTTACAATAACCACAGCAAATTTCAAATGCATTTTTTTCCATTTTTTTCTATTTTTTATTGATTTAAACAACACCAGTTTTTGATAATATTTTGACATTCAATTATAAAAGACTTTAGTTGCAACAAAGTGAGGCAGGCTTTCGAGCCGTATCCAAAGGGATTGACTTTGCCGAGATGCAATTGTTAAATGGAAGCACGGTAACAATCTCTCTCTCTCTCTCTCTCTTCGCATTTAGAGCCACTTTCTGTTCTGTCTGTTCATTTAAAGCCACTTTCTGTTCTGTCTGTTCATTTAAAGCCACTTTCTGTTCTGTGCTGCGAATTTTTGCCCCAAAAAGATCAAAAGTCGTTGAAAAGTTTTCAGCTGGACGAATCACTTTTTTTCATTTTTTATTTCACCTGTTCGTAGTCGAGAAATTTCCTATGGAAACCATAATTTCCTCCTTCAATTTTTGCGGGTTTTTTTTTCAGGAAGGAAATTCATTCTTTCGAGTGCTAATCCGACCAATCTTTGCTTCGTTTTTTGATCGTTTTTCTCTCCATCAAGCTCTTCATCTTGTTACCTACCTATATTATATCTATATTATTATAGATAATATAGATACCTATCTATATTATGAGTTTCAAATAGCACAAGCAAAGGACTCTTTTTCGCTGATTAATTTGAGATGAGCATTATTGGGTGAACTGTTTTCTAAAAGGCACCTATTCTAGAAAATTACCGTACTCAGACCGTCAGTTTGTGTTTGATGAGCCGAATTTTGGTATCATTGATTGAGTGTTATGATTTCTCATTGAATGAAACTAAAATCGGGTTGATTCGATGAAAACTGGTGACGTGATTACGGTAGTTCTCTAAAATAGAGACTTTCTGAAAACGAAAGAATTTTTCAATTGATATTCAGTCTTTTTTGCCTATCTTTCTATTCCGGAATACTGTATTGAATAGATGTAAAACCTTATCTTCAATCAAAGTCACTAAATTTTCAGTAATGATTTCCCGATTCATTTCAACTCTCACAATAGCTCTTATCCTTCAATATCCACGACATATCACGGCATCAATCAATATTCGAAATACATACCAAATTGCCACTCAAACAATGAGCGAGTTTTTAAAAAGATAAAACTTCTCTTGCCAGAAAAAACCCACTGTACTCTCATTGTCTCGTGGGGTTACGGTAGTTTGCGGTATATCTCATTTTCTTTAGATCAAGGCCAACAGTACACTTTGAATTGTGCCGATCAATCGACGATGTCCCAGAGTAATTTCGATCAACAACCAAAGGTTTAGCTATACAGATTTTACAGTTAGTCGATCACTGAACACTTTTTTCATTTAGCTTTAAATCTAAAAATATTCAGCTTAAACAAGAATCGATTCATTTCCAGGTTTGGCGCCTAAACGGTACCGAGTTTTACTCGAATACGAACACGCGAAATCTCATCAACAACAATAAACAGTTACAGTAAGTGAAAATTTATAAGATCCATCAATAATCTGGGAGTGGGACAAATGCGACCTTTTTTTTGCGCACCCGGACATTTGCGCACCTTTTTTTCCGCACTTAGCCCATTAGCGCACCTTTTTTCGCGTTTTAAAAAAAACTCTAAAAGCTAATATTAACCAATTTCTACTCTAAAAGTTGTTTTTCTAGGTAATTTGAGGGCGTAGAATCGAAATTTTGGCATATCAGAGCTTGTGGGACCAATTTGAAAGACAAAACTGTTAGATCAAATTACAGAAAATTGTCGATTTTTCTCTTTGTATAACTCCGTCCGTTCGCTTCCACAAGCTCTGATATGCCAAAATTTCGATTCTACGCCCTCAAATTACCTAGAAAAACAACTTTTGGAATAGAAATTGGTTAATATTAGCTTTTAGAGGTTTTTTAAAACGCGAAAAAAGGTGCGCTAATGGGCTAAGTCCGCAAAAAAAAAGGTCGTATTTGTCCCACTCCCAATAATCTATATAAATTTGTAGCTACATCAATTATGGGTTAAACGGTATCTAAAATACACATTTTTCAAAAATCAAAGCTTTCTGAACGATCCGTTGAATTGATTCATTTGACCAATTCAAAGAAAAACCAAAAATCGAAAATGGGTTCACAAAACGAGTTGTGCACAAATCTTTCCCATTTAGTCACTAATCTTCAATAAAAATTAGTCATTGAAGCCTTACTTGGTCTCACTCTTATGTCCAAAAAGATCAAAAAGATTTATTCAAAAGAAAGCCCACCAAAAGCGAAATGAACACACTATAAAGGACAAAAAGGAGAACAAAAGCGATAAATTTTGAGTGCTTCTCTTTATTTTTGCTTTTTGTCACCGTTTGGATCGTTGTTGATCAGCACAATGGAAATTGGTGATGGAATTGATGCGGTCGATGATGGCGGATGTTGTTGATGAACGATTGGAGACACGGGAACGCACGTCTTTGATTCCATTTCAGCGTGCACGTCGTAGAGTTTCTGAAAGAGAAAATAGGCTAAATTCAGCTATCAATAACGAGAAAAGATGTACAGCATAGACCTTTGAATGAAAAGATAGACTTGAAAAAGATACCTGGAAAGATGGCTGAAGTATCTCGTTCTTGTAGGCCCACGCCAGTGCGACAAGCACGAGAAAGACAATCAACAATGCGGCCATCGAAGAATAATCAGAAGAATGAGTAGACAAGAATAGGGATGACTTAACAGGCAACTTGCTATGCAAACTAATATCCGTGCATGCTAATTTTATCTCTTTCCAACGTCGAGCACTTCATGGCTGACTTTTGGTTTATTTTTTTGCTGTATAGATGTTAATTGCTCCATCTATTCGTCGATCATTTCATTTATTTATTGAGCGCGACTCTTGGTCCTTGAAGGCAACCAAGTCCTAAAAAAGAAATACAAGAATGTAAGGAATTAGATAAAATTACAATGAGCAAAACGTGGCAGATGATAGCTTCCTTGGTATGAACATTCATCACATTGGAACTAAAGTTGAAATGATATAATAAAAGAGATCAATCAGGACTCACCCCTGACGACAAAATTGTCGGCGATTATCATCCTTTCCTACATCATTCCAGAGAAGAGCTTGGTGATCGTTCCACAAAGTACATTGCTGCGTCCATCAGTGATCTAAAAAAGAAGCTTTCAGTTTTCCAAGTTAGATAGCTATCATCGAATCATCAAATCCTTACCGTGAACTGCCTGTTTCCGCAATGGATTTGTACCATGGCTCCACTACCACTTTGAAAACTAAAAAAGAAACCCATTTGCTTTCTACACATTTAAATCTCACCGAGCCATCATCTGTCCTCCATTGGCGATATTGAAAAGGAGATTGTACCCAGTATACTGCTAGTCGATGCAATCTAAAAAATAAGGATTACGATTGTAATTTCAAAAACGAACGGGTCGTCCCACGGGAGCCTCGACAACAACTTGGGGAAACTCAGGAACAACTTGCGCTAGTTTGACATTGACGATGCATACGCATCATTTCCCAAAAGTTAATTCAATTAAAGCAAATCGATGAAATTATACTCGGTTGGCGTAAATGTGAATAGTGAAACCGCGGCGCTGCTAGAAGTCTTGACGCTCGTATTGCGGCAATTCTTCGAAGCAACGATAATACTAAAGAAATTCGGCATTGAAACGACACAAAAGAAAGAAAACCGAGCACTTTTCCTTGAGGGTTGAGCACATTGTACGAATTGACACTTTCATAGTTGCAGTACATCAACTCCAGGGTCTCGACATTCTAAAAAAAAATTTTAAAGATAAAGCCTAAATAAATTTGCCTGTCAAACCATCATGCTGTCGACTATTGCAAGGTATTCAAGACTGGATAGGGCTAAAATAAAAGAAATCGATGAAATATCATGGAAACCGAATAGAGCAAATGCTCATTTAAACATTTTAAAGCTTCTAACGTAAAAATTTAACTCTAATTAACTATTAAATGTAACAAAAGTTATAAAAAGTGAAAATAGAACGAAAAAGGAAATAACTGACCCGACATTGTTGAAGTTTCGACCGATTCGGGAGCAGAAACAATGAAGAATGATTTCGCTCAAAAGAGAACACGATGATATTTATACTTTTGAAGTATCGCCGCCTCCAAGTGTCCCCATAAAGTGGGGACCCTTGGGACCCTTTTTTGGACCATATGGGGACCCTTAGGACCCTTTTTGACCATATGGGGACCTTTAGGACCCTTTTTGACCATATGGGGACCCTTTTTGGATACTGAAATGCTTCCTTTTCTTTTTTCTCTGGAGCTTTTTTAAAATTCTGTGATAGACGAAATTTTTTGAACTCTTCATATTAAATACTCTCTATCACAGCATTTTAAAAAAGCTCGAGAAAAAAGAAAACGAAGCATTTCAGTCCCCATATGGTGGCACTTTATGCGGACACTTTGGGGACGCTTTTTGGGTGCAATTGGGGGCGGTACTTCGAAAGTATAGCGATATTACGCAAATTCCCCTAAATGCAAATTAAAGGTTAGATTTAAACAAGTTTTTCCACCGATAAGATTTCAGAAAAGAAAACTTTCATCTCACCAAAAAAAGCATTTCAAAATTTGTATCAAATTCAGATTCACGAGCTTTTCGATGTACGATATCGGCTCGTATGATTGCTGTGTGATTCCATATGGTACAACTGATGGTTATTATAATTGTTATACGACAAATATGATGATGAATATGATGAATAATGGATATCCGCGTGAGTTAAATGAATATTTTATCGGCAAAAATTCATTTTCAGAGAACGGCTACACTCAATATCCGGGACAAACACGTGGGTTTTTTTTGCTTAGCTAGATAGTAGTAGTATTGAAAGTATCATAGTAGTATTGAAAAGCTATCCAAATATTCAATACTCAAGCTAGAGTTTTGTCAGTTACCGGGCTCTTTATATCAAAATTCTGTGCTTTACTTCTGTGCTTACGGTAGCGTAACGCAGTTACCAAAGCCGTTCTTGGGCTTTTGAAGCATTAGATAAGTAAATCTAATTGTATTGGGCTGGTGAATTGAAAACAGCCGGCTATTGTCATATGTGACAGTTTGAGGACTTTCTTCAAAAGAAACCCATTTTGGTGTCAATGGAAAAGTTGTAGGGAATCAAAAATCAAGCTTATATCCAAATTCTCAGAAAGATTCAAAAACTGGTTTTGAAGAAATGCGAAATTTACGAATTTTCACAAAACTTGCATTTTAAGCGAAACTACTAAGTGTATCTTTTTGGAAATTTGGCTATAAGCCTAATTTTTGATTCTCTACAGCTTTTCCAATGACACCAAAATGGGTTTCTTTTGAAGAAAGTGCTCAAACTGGGTCCAAACTGGACACCTCCAGTCCTCCATTTTTGAGTCTCACACTTGTCTCACACACAAACCAAAATCCTACCACGAAAGAGGAATCCGCAAATCGCCTGTAAAATGGGCAGAATGCAATCAAATACAGTGAACAGTTGGAAAAGGTGAATAAATCCCTGAAGAAGAATAGGCCCTTCAAGTCAAAGATCGTTCTCCTCCACGACAACGCACGCCCTCATGTTGCAAAATTGACTAGCTCTAAAATAAATAGCCTTTTTTGGGAACTTTTGTCGCATCCCGCATACAGTCCGGACCTTTTGATTACTATTTATTCCGGATCATGAGTAATGAGCTTGCGGGAGAACACTTCGATTCGGAAGAAGCAGTCAAAAATTGGCTTTGAAAGTTTTTCGATTCAAAACCAAAATCCTACCACGAAAGAGGAATCCGCAAATTGCCTGTAAAATGGGCAGAAGTTGTCAATAATAATGGAAATTATTTGGAATGAATTCATGGTTTTATGTTCAATAAATTTTAGTTCAATGTCCCGCAGTTTTCAATTCACCAACCCGATTAGCTATATATGACTCAAAGCTAGATATTGGAATAAGGCTCTAATTGTACGTATAAGAAACGATATATCTTTCCAGAATACCCCGGTCAACAACAGACAACAACTTTAAGTGGAATGGCTCAATTGCTTTTATCATTGGGAACAATGTTAGCAAATCAGAAAGCACAACAAGCGATTGGATGAAGAAATGGAAATTTCGAACCTTCACTGGTTTCTAAAAAGTGTCCCACTTTCTCTGGACTACCGTAATCTTGCCTCCATTGTTTATCCAATCAATCTACAGTTACTAAGAGTACCAGTACCAGGGTAAAAACGAAATTTTAAAATGTAAACTCATTTCTTTGTTATATGTATAGTTGTCTTTGTTGAAAATAAACACTTTTATTAGGAGTACTATAGCTGGGATACGAAAAAAAGAATCTTTGAATCTTTGAGAGCTTTTAAGATTAGAATGATTACAATATTTCCCAAACGAAATCTATTCGTCAAATTACCCAAAGCTATCCAATAATTCTACCCCTTTTCTCAAAAATAACCAAACAAAGCGCATTTTTCCCTTCCAATTTCCCATCAAAATGCGATCTTTCCCTTCAAATTTCTCTCCAATCAATGATTGATCACCGTTTAGTTCTAATTTTCTGTATCTCTACGAAAAAGAATCGATTCTAAAACGGAAATTTAGCTCTTTTACCCAACACAAAAAAAACACGTAACCGATGGATTTTCTACCATTTTTTCGATCCGATACTCGTGCATTTCCGGTTGATTTATTTAGCAAAGAAGAAAATGATTAAAAAGAACAAAATGATTAAAAATATCATCTCAAAAACAATTGTTTTCGCATTCCTTTTCAAAAACACAAGACTGATCATTGGGATAGTCAAGTTTAGGATGAAAGTTGAACGGATGTTCAAATCGATTTGAGGATTGAAAACAATTTCACAAAACCAGACTCTCCCCCTTTTTTACCTAAATTTTGAAACTCTGAGAATCTTTGGCCTTCTTGAGTATTACAGGACGATCCAGAAACAGTATATAATTGTCCGTTGTGTGCTTATAATGTTACCTGTTGAATATGTTCTGTTCAATTCAGAGATGCAGAGGGATTGTAGCGACTCCGCTACCCGTTCGCACATATTCATCAATTTGCATACGAACTATGAGCCCGTAAAAGGTGGAAAGCTAATGCGTGGACAAAGTACCGTAGGCGTTGCCTTTTGAAAGCTCAAACAATCTTTTGGGGGGTGGGACAAATGCGACCTTTTTTCCCCTTTTCTTTTCTTTTTCCAATTTCGACAAATCAGACCCCCACGTCAATGGGCTTTTGGGCAAAAACGTACCCAACAACGCTTCCTTCCGCAGTTTTTGCCTTTTCTGCCGCGCGAGGTCTGATTTGTCGGAACGGAATCTACGCATACGATTCCCTTTTATGGAAAAATTTTCGAAATATTTTCGGCTCTCGGTCTTTCCCTAAGGCCCCCGCAAAAAAAACCCAGCCCCCACTTTGCACATTTCTTTCAGCAATCTTGTAGGTGTTTAGTTCAAAATTCTCCCCGTTCGTTTGTTGTATTGTTTTTAAAGAGTGACCGCAATGTAAAGCGACAATTTTTTGGAAAACTAGCTGGGAAATGTGTAATTTATTTCAAAAGTGGCAAATGTTAAATAGAGAATTGTAGCCGTAACTCTCGCCAACATTTATCTACCAAAACCTTCCCGATTCCACTTATACAATTCATTTAAGAAGCGCTTGAATGAGCGCTAGTCGACATCTCTCCAGCGAGTCTGTCATTTGGCCAGTGTTATGTCACTCATTCAAGCGCTTTTTAAATGAGTTGGATGAGTGACCCCTTTATTTTTTGTATTCGTTCTTTATCTGGTTTAATTACCCAAGTTAGAGCTTCGATAAACGATTGTTGTCAATTGGTCAATCTTCGAGCCTAATCAAACAAGGGCAAAGTATAAGCTATCTGAATTTCTCTCAAGCAATACACACAACCTTTTCGTTGCGACAGGAATGTCTGTGCATGAAAATGCTTGAGACTGGAAAATTTAGCACAAACTCCAACTCTGCAACTAAATGCCCAGATTCATTTTTCAACTCTAGCATCAATCTTTCGGTCAATATTTATCAGCTAATCTCTTATGATGTGATTTGATGAAATCAACTTGACACGAGTCAAGTCCTTTCAATCCTTTCAATCCTTTCAATCCTTTACCTTTTATCATCCCACGTATTTACTTTTCTCTTTCAGTCCAACAATACAAAAAAAAATGTTTTCGAAACTTTGAACCGAAAAAAGGCAAAAAAAAAAAAACTGTAGACACGTGAAAGTTCAAGAAAACTCTTTTCACGAGAAAATCCTCGATAAATCAATCAAAAATTGGGAGAAGGGGCAAATATGTGGGCGGAGTCTGATCGAGAAATATATTTGATCTGTAAATCCATTGAATGGCTGAGAAAAATCAGAAAGGATCTCTCCATTTTGCCATCCCTACTAAACTAACAACAATCACCCATGAACCCAATCAAATTCACGATTTTTTGCTTTTTTATCTCAGGTACGGTCGTTTTTTTGTCTTTTTTTTTATTGTTGATTTTCTGAATCTTGGGGAGGCCTATAAATCTTTATCCTGAGCCAAATGAAATTAAGCCGTTTTAAACGATGTCTGGTTCATAAGTAACTACAGTAACATCGGTTTTTATATACGAAAATGCTTTCCAGTGATGGCCACCTCTCCACTCGACAATATCTACAAAAATTTGGCGAGAAAACAAAATCAAGTCCGTATGCAACAATTGATGGAATTCATTCACAAGGTTTGTGTGAGAAAAGATGGAAATCCCAATCATGCTTTCTCAGAATGTTCCCGAGGGTCTTGAGGCGCCGAATCCGAAAATCGCTGAATTCGAAACGTTCAAATCGAATAAAATGTACAATTTTGTCGACGATGGACAAGGACATTTACAATTCAGACAATTCAGAAGATTGCGATTGGGAGATGTAAGCTTACGACTGAATTTGATAATAATGTGACTCATGCAATTGATGAGTACCACCTCTACGCCCTAATTTCCAGATCCTGTCACGCCATCAAGCCGGAATCTAATCGATAGACTTCCTCTTTCCTCACTTTACCCAATCAGGCTCGCAAATCGATCTCACCTAGGATTTTACTGATTACATTTTCTGTATATACTGTAAATATAAACATTTTATTTTTAAAACTTGAACTCTACTTGAAACAAATTAAAAATTTAAAAATATCGAAATTATAAAGAACTCATCGGGAAATTTGATAGATAACAACTAAATCGATAGATAACAACTAAATCGCAACAATGATACAGATGTTTTGATCTCAACAAACAAATCAATTTCAAATATCACAATAAAAAAACAAAAACTTTTGACCAACTTATGATGTTTTACTTGAAGGGGCAATCGTTTCACCCAAAGCATCGAGTATTTCCTTCTTATACACATCAAAATCGCCATCGATTTCAACGACATCCTAAAATTCTTATACAAATCAAAATCACCATCAATTTTCAAGAAATCCCAACCTAACAAGTAGTCCTTACGGATAATTGATATGCAAAAAAATTTACCTGACTCTCAACAACCCACAAAACACAATTTGTTTTCCGAATCAATCGCTCATCGTGGGTAACCATAATAACACCTAGATTTTTGTTTAACAGATACACTTAACAAGTCAACCTCCTTTAAAGTCTTCGATAGCACAAGCGAGTGCATCAATCGACTCAATGTCAAGATTATTCGTAGGCTCATCCTGAATATCTTACTATATCACTGTTGGCATAACAAAAACTTTAGCACTGAATTCTTACCAAAACAAGTACATCAGGTGCACCCAACGAGAGATCCGCCAAAGCTACTCGACTTTTCTGTCCACCAGACAACTCGGAAATCTTCACTGTGTGCGCATGGGAGGCAAGACCGACCGTTCCAAGACATTTCCGAGCTAACTAAACAGAAAAATTCTATTAGAAATAACGCCAAATCTACCTGTGGGTCAATTTTAAACTTCGTGACAAGATATTCCATTGCACTTTGCTCCATATTAAGCGCCTCATTTGAATGTTGATCAAACCATCCAATTTTCAAGAGACGATTCTTCCGAAGTTCGCCTTCTTGCTAAACGTTGATTATAAAACAAAATGTCTTATGTAACCACCGGCTCAATCTTTCCAGTGAGCAACTTGAGTAGAGTTGATTTTCCGACTCCATTTGGTCCAACGATTGCAATACGTGACTCCATATCGATACCGAATTCCAAATGCTTGAAGAGACAATCTTTTCCATAGCCAAATATGACACCTGGAAAAGAAAGTTATACTACAAAAAGCTGTTGATAAAACTACCAAATAATCCCAAGATTGGTGGTTGAATGGGCGATGGTTCGGGAAACGAGAACTTCACACTGTACTCTTTTCTTCTTTGCAATAACTCGGCTGGTGGCGCATCATCTAAACGCAACATTGCAATCAGTGATATCAGGAACAACATACCTTCATCGCCCATCGTCGAACTCCCTTTCGTTTTTCCCTTATTTTGCTTGTTCAATTTGTTCTGCAATTGATTTTTCAGTTGTTCTTCTGCCTGTTTGGCACTCTTTCCGCCCTTTTTCAAACTTCTCTAAAAGTTTTCTTTCAGAATAGTAAATAGTAACACAACTGACCAATTGCTTTTCCTGCGTGTCGTAATCTTTCGTAAACTCCCTCACTTTTTGTTCGTACATCTTTTTGAATTGAGCTAATATTGTAAAATAGCCAGGAAAAGACGTCTGAAGTTACCATAATTTCCAGTGTAATAATGCAACTTCTGTTGGTCAAGATGAATAATATCCGTGCAAATTGAATCGAGAAATCCTTGGTCGTGAGAAATAATCAAAAGCGTTTTCTTCCATGTTTGCAGGTAACTAAAATATAATCACTTCTCAATTAATGTTTTAAAAATACTTGTCAAGCCAAATAACAGCGTTGAGGTCAAGATGGTTAGTCGGTTCGTCAAGCATCAAAAATGTTGGCTCAAGGAAGAGCGCTCGAGCCTAAATTAAGTCTAATCATTGAAGACATTTGAGGAAAAGTATTAGACTTTACATAAAGCAAAACTTACAAGGGAAATACGCATTCGCCAACCTCCAGAAAAGTCTTGTGTTGCCTAAATTAGTATTTTTAAAGCCGTACTTTCTTATTGCTCACCTTTTCTTGCATATCCTTTGAAAATCCAAGACCAGCTAGAATTCGTCGAGCTCGGGGCTCAGCTGCATCAGCCTTTATGTCCCGCAACTCTTCTCCAACCTAAAACTATGAAATAAAACTTATTACAACTTAAAAACTTACCTGCTTCAACCGTTCACTTGCGCTGACATCTCCATCTTCCAATTTCTTTGTCATTTCTTCTTGCTCCTGCAAAAGAGCGTTTCTCTTTTTGTCCGAAAGCAAAACGGCATTTATGGCCGAAGTTGAATCCACCGAAATTTCTAAAACTTCAATAAAATCCAAGCGCATTAAACGAATTACCTTGTTCACAGTATAATAAATCGATATGTTCCGGTATAGCCAGTTTGCGAGCAGCTATGTGTTTCAACAGTGTCGTTTTGCCCATACTATATTTTTACAATGTTAACCACACATTTACACAAATCGAATTGTAAGAGCAAAATTTTCAAAACATGCCCATTGGGTCCAACAAGTCCATATCGTCTTCCGAAAGAAATTTTCAGTGTGGCCTTGCTGAACAAAACTTTTCCCTGCGCAGCAATGTCAAAGTTTTCAACCTAAAATAAAGTTAAAAGTTAAAATCAGCAAAAACATACTTTAATATCTTGTGAATTTTCGAGAAGAGCCATTTGTTGAGTGGTTTTCACTTGTTGCGACACGGAGAATTGACCGCCAAGCTCAGCCCCAGCACCGATTCCGCCACCGTCTAAATACAACATGATAATATTTTGTTATCGTATTTCGGAAAATTGCCTACAATGTACCTGCATACAAAATCGCATACCTTGTTGTGAAATTTCTTCTTTCTTTGCACCTTCTATTGTACCTCCCATTGCCAAGATTTGCTTTTCGTATTTTTCCCTCTTCTTCGCTTCTTTTGCATTGCGTTTGTTTTGCTCTAAAATAGGCATTTGGCTAATTTATAACAAAACGTACGAACTTTGGTCTAAACAAGTTTTATAGAAAAAGAGCATCTCAAATAATCAAAAACCTACTTGATACTTTTAAATCCGCAATATCGTCGATGACTTCTTCGTCGGACATTTCCAAAATGTTATGTAGAACAATACGGTCCTAAACATGAAAACATCATTAGAATTGATAGAATAAGGATTAGGTTCTATGCTTTTGCTGCTGTGATGCACTGCAAAAAGGCCTAGGCTTAGCCTACTCCTTCCCTTATCATTCAAATTCATGACGAAATCTTACGAATAGAATTGCTTCATAAAAAGATGGTAACCATTTATGTATTGTATTGTATTGTATTGTTGTGTTGTTGTGTTGTGTTGTAACCATGTATTGTTTCGTGCGAACATAAAAATCTTACTTAAGTCAACAAAATTTCTTTTAATCGATTGGGAAACCCTTTTCCACAATCTCTTTTCGGTATTGTAAGAATACGAAACTTGTCAAACGAGTCTTCAACAAAAATATTCAAAGTTTATTCCATCAAAAACTTACACACCTTAAATAAATATCATAATCGTAAAGAAATATCACTGAAAATGTACCATAACGAAGCCAAACGCAAAGAAGCAAAAACACCATGAGATCACAAGAAACAAAAAATTGTTTACGACTTGGTGAGAATGATTTCTTTAGCATTGTCATTGACGATATTCTCCATTTTGGCCACATCGCGGCACCATTCGCTTATTCGGTCGGCCATAGATAAAATCTAAACATAACCATGCTAAGAAATGTTTGATGACAGAAAATAAGGGTACCTGAGTAGCATTAAGGACACGTGGTTGAACCCATGAGATGTGAACGGTCTGATTCACCTGGATTACATTATTTCAACTTCCATAAAATAGTTATTACCTGATCGATGGCACCTCGGATAAGTTCTTTGGAAAGCGCCTTCATAACAAGATGTTCCACTTTTGACGTCTCAATTTGAGCCTTGGTTGCAATTTCTCCAAAAGAAATGTTGCGCTCCTTGGATGGACGAGCAAGGGCAATCTGAATAAAGGAGTGTGCCTCTATGATAGATCTTGATAGCACACCTCCATGATTGAGAGCAGACGAATCTTTTCGACAAGGAATTCCTTTTGCTTTTTCATATCGGGCCATCCTCCCCAATAGCGTTCAAGCCCATAAAACTAAACAAAACACTAAAAATGGAACTTTAAATAATTTAAACTTTGTTCAAGTCTCCTTCATTGAAAGCATATAGCACATCCAATAGCCACTTCTCCTGAGAACCATCGAGAGACTTCAGAATTGGGTGAGCAAGCTAACACATTTAAATAATTTGCAACTGACGATGAAAAGAACTTACCAGTTCTCCGAAATTATAAATGTTCTCTCCGAGCAAGGCGGCAAATCCGATCAGGACGGCTTGATAGTGTTTATCCTAAATCACTTTTATGTTACATATTTCTATGTAAAAGTTTAACCTGGAAAGAAAGCTTATTGGCATCTTCGACTCCAAGATAACGAAGTGCTTCTCGATAGTAACCAGCAAAATCACCAATCTCTTTCAGGTAAACAGCGCTCATCTAAAACAAGAAATCTTTTTGTCGTAAACAAAGCTTTTTATACTTTGTAGAAAGGCGCGTGCACTTCCGTGACTCCAACCAGATCATCAATTTCTTTCTGAGTCGATTCGAGCATTCCACGAACTTTTTGAATATCGAGACAACACTCATTTTGGTCCTTATTATTCAGACGAAGCTCGATTTGAGCAGTGTGAAGACGGATTGTTGCCTACAAGTATAAATAAAACCAATTAAACATTGCAATTGATACCTGTTTATCCTTGGCAACAGTTTTCTCGATCTTTTCCAAAAAGTTGAACGCCTCGGGTTTATCTAAACAAAAGTGATCAGATAACAATTAATACGTTTACCTGTGGTGAAAAGGAAACGAGCAACTGGGATGCAAATCTCGACAAGGTGAAGGCAATTGATGCGGTGTTCAAATTCGCTAACAAAGTTGTCGTAGAATTCCTAAAAGTTGAGAAGTTTAGAAAATTTAAAAAGTAACAAACTTTCAAATTAAGCCGTCGAGAAAAGGTCTCATCACTCAACAAAGTGAGAACTTCCTTTGTGAGTTGATGCCAAAGCCTAAACAAAAACCATTATAAGCTTATTGAATTAATAATGTTTTTGGGCAACCACAATTGGGAAAACTAACTTCGTCACGTAACTTTTAAAAATCTTACTTCTTGGTGTAAAGTTGTTCCAATTTTTGCCACTTATCCGCCACTTCTCCTTGAGCCGAATTCTTTTGCTTGGCCAAAAAGGCCTCGACTTTCTCCAGAGCCATCTAAAAAGACAATTTCGTTAAAAGTCAACAGATCCAAGAAAAGAATTATCCTTTAAAAAGTAGGGTGATGATCACAAAAGTGAAACGACAAGGGAAAATCATCATCACAAAAAAAAACCAGACACACCTATCGACGAGAGAGAACGCGCAAAGGGAAAGGGCTTTTAAAAACAAGTACAGCTGCTCGAGTCCTTTGTAAATTTTGGCGTTAGATGTTATTTTATGCAAGCTTTTACGCATAAAAGAACTTAATTTTCATCGTTGTCGGGCTGCTTTTCAGCGACTTGACAATTAGAAGACTACATCGCTGCGCTAAAACCTTCTTGCAACTGGAATTATTTGGTGCAAAACTTTGGGCTCTTTAGATTTAAGTAATTTTTAACGTTGTGCGTGGCAGCCTTCTGTCGCACAACTTCTTTTGAACGGAGTTGCCACACAATATGCAAATTTATTTTAGAAAGCATAAAGATTGAAGTTGTGCAAATCTTGCAGAGCGTTCTTTCTGATTTTGTTCTCTTTTCTGTTTTGTTGGCATCAACAATTTTGAAAGTCAATATTTTATTTCTAGAGCTTAACTGATGATGGACACGTCAAAACTACCAACAGTGCCCAAAGAAATCGAGTCACCAAAGCCGAAACGTCGATCAATTCGTGGTCGACGATCAAGTGTTCAACTCAAAACCCCAGCCATCGATGAACCCGAAATTTTGGAGGTTTCGATGAAAGAAAATGTTCTCGAAACGACACATGAACGACTCTCGACAGCTTTTGACGTACGCAAGCGTATAAGTGTAAGTTTTGCTTTTATTTTCAATTTGAGTTCCAACTTTAGAATTACAAGAACACCCTTAGCCAAGAAAGCGCCGAATGGGAAGCTTTATTACAGAAACTGAGCAAACGAAGCGCCAAAGAGAAAGGGTTAGTTTTCTTTGGGGACGTTCCAAACTATGAACCCATAGATGCTTTTAATCTTTTAATCGTAAAGTGTTTAGAAAGCAAATAAACAAGGAGCCACTTGCTGAGAATGGATGTTCCGATGCTCGACCGACACGACAAGCACGATCACACGTCATGAAGCTACTCAGTCAGATGAGAAGTCAAGATGATAGTGGACTGCAGGTAGTTTTTTTTCTAAAGCTTCATTAATAAAATATTTCTTTGGCAAATGGTTTAGCTCGATTTTCACATTGGTTATTTATTTACCATTTTAGCTCCAAGAAAACCAGAAACTCGAGAATTCATGCGCTAAGTTAAACGACGATGTTCTGGATGAGAAGGACAAGATAGAACAGTAAGTTGGAACTTTTAGAATTCACAGTTGTGTGCATTATAGATAACTTGGTGCAAAGTAAGTGCAAGGACACCTAGCTTCGATTTAAAGTAGCTACTTGCTCTTTGTATTCGTTTTCTGAAAAGTGGACACGTTCTCATTAGGGCCCCTTCATTTTAAAGAATTAAAAACTTCACAATTCAAGTTTATTTAGACTATCAGAACTTCTCCGCAACGAAGCTAATGTCGATTGGAGCAAAGATTGCGCTTTCTGGAAACAACAACTTGAATGGACAGAAAAAGCCAAAGGAAAACTGAACGATTTGGCGGCACTCTTGACGATAGCCTAACTTTTGTGATGTTTATTTTTGGTTTGGCATTGTGTTTGTTGTATATTTAGTAGCGCAGTTTAACCGACTAATACGTATCCATGGCGCTAATTCGAGACTTGTTGAATGCAGGTGTTTTTCGTATTTGTAACGGTCACAAGAATTTTGAGCTCTTTTGTGCAAAAAGATTTCTTCTTGTCGCTTTTTCTCCCTAAACCTCCAAATTCCTCTTGAAACACTCTTCTCGAATTCAGCGCGCACACAATGTCCACCCCTTTGCAACAGTCAAATGAAAACACGACCGTCCTCTAAGAATTTCCCCTTTCGCTACTTCATTTTCTTTATTTGCCCACCCATACACGTTTATTTAAATTCGTTCGTTCTTATGGTCTGTATAGAAAATAAAGTTATCTCTAAATTCAATAACAATATGATCACAAATTTATCTACAAAATTTCTAATGATAATTTAAAATTTCTATTACTTGCACCCTCCTTGGAATTTTTGGACTTTTTTGTCCTTTATCAATTGAGCCTTTTTTGCAAAGAGGGCACAGATCCAATGATAAGAGGGATGAATTCTAGAAATAACTAATTGTCAGCACAAAAAAACGATTCAATATGAATACAATATTTTGAAATTGTTTTCTTTCTTTTTGTCTTTTCCAGTGCTCTTTAGGGTGTCAGATTTTTTCGAGATAATCCGCCTGTTGAGGTCAAGGACTAAAAATTACACATGAATGAGCCTCTTTTTCTTCATTTTCATTTCCTAAAACTTCATTTGTCACTAATTTTACCAGAATACGATGTCAAGCGGATCGAAAAGAACCCGGAAATATGGATCGAGGACGAAAGCTTTGGACGTAAGAAATTATTGACTTGATTTTAACTTGCTTAACCATCTGTTACACCAAAGCATTAGTTACCGTTTTTAAGCAGGTCTAGTTTCGTTTCAAATTGAAATTACTTTAGACGGTACCAAATGTGGAGCTGACCGGGAAAACGATGCTCATCACCGGGACAACTTCGGGAATCGGTGAGAAATGAAGTACCGTATCACAAAAGTGCCAGTAGAAGTACTACGATAACTGTAATTAAATCGTTTCCAGGAATTGAGACAGCTCGCTCCCTTGCTCTCCTCGGTGCTCATATCGTGATGGCCAATCGAAATCTCGTCGAAAGTGAGGCACTAAAGGAGAAAATTCTCAAGGAAAAGGTTTCCTAACCGAAATTTCGCCCCCAATTTTTCTTTCAGCCGGACGCTAAAATCGATTTGTTATCGTGTGATCTTTCATCACTTCAAAGTGTCAAAGCTGCGGCTGACGAATACAAACAAAAACAATGGTAAGTGAAAGATTTTAACATGAATTTATAGATTTCAGGCCAATTCACGCGCTCGTCTTGAATGCTGGCGTCTTTCAACCGATTCAAAAAACGACTTTGGATGGATATGATTCATCATTTGGAGTCAATCATCTGGGACACTTCTACCTGATACGGTAAAAAAGGGCATGATAAAGACCTTTTCAAGTTTTCTAAAAGGTGCTCTCCAGAAAAAGACACTATAACCCTGCTGTCTCTAAGCCCCGGATTAGGATAGCTTTTCGGCGCATTTTAGAAAACGTTCAGTTACATGGACTGCCCCGGGATTTGAAGGAAAATCCCAATATTTCAGCGAGCTTCTCCCCGTTGTCCGTCAAAGTGCTCCTGCTCGAATTGTAATTGTTTCTTCTCATTCACACAATCACACCGGGGTTTGTTTTAAAAGGACTCAAAACATTAACAATTCGCTTTTCCAGATTAGCGCCACTGATCCAACGGAAGTCAAAGTGAAACGTCTCATTCAAATGGGAGACACAAATGAATTCGGATACCGGTAACGGGGGAAACTGATTTGAAAGCCAAAACGAATTTCCAGTCTCTACGCATATTCCAAACTGTGCAACGTGCTTACTGGATTTCGTCTACATCGGAAAGAGAATGCAAATAACATTTCGGTTTACGTTCTCCATCCCGGAACAATGATTGGAACAAGTGAGTTTTGAATTTAAATTTCTCAGCACAAAACATTTTCCAGATATTTCTCGAGGATATGGTTTTTGGGGCAAGGCGATGAACGTTCTTTCGAAGTAAGTTAACAGTGTCATTTCTGAAAATTTAAACCGGGAAAACTTGGATTCAATCCCAAAATTCAATAATTTTCAGGCCTTTCACTAAAGATCTTTCACAGGGAGCCGCTACAACGGTGTACTGTGCTGCTTCTCCGGAAATTGCCAACGTTTCAATTCTGCGTTGAAAACCAGATACAAATTTCAGGTATCGGGAAAGTATTGGGAGAGTTGTTGGGATGATGAGAAACAATTACAAGTGAATCTTGCTCGGGATGAAGAGTTTCAGGTTGGAAAAACGGGAAAATTTCCAAACAGCAATTTTAGGATGCATTTTGGGATAAGTCCGAAGAACTTATCTTCAAATTCGAAAGCACTCGACGTCCGGCTCAATCCTAGATAACTGTTTGTGTTTAAATAGTTTTCATAAAAATTTATTCTTTTCATACGAACCATGACTACATAACATACCGTGAAGATTTAGAGACTTCATAATATCTCATCAAAAGCACAAAAATCCTATCAAAAGCAAACTTTTTGTAAGGGACTACAAACGTTTTGCTAATACATAATTTATTCTAGAAAACAGGGAAAAACCTTTGTGAACCCAATTGTTTGAGAAGATGGGCTGACGTTGATCGCTTGAGCTAGAGGCCGGCTCGAGCTAATGCGTCATTCACTACGTTTTGTCGCTCGCGTTGTTTCTCGGTTTCGAGGGCTTGGGCCTAAAATAGTAAAAATACCATAAAAATAATAGTAATTACTTTAATCTAGCACCAGTTGTCTATGAAATCTTTAACATCTTTGACAGTAAAAATTACCTTTCTCTTTCCGTTCCACTTTACAGCAAAGAATGCAGAGACGTAGGTGAGAATGACGGCACTAAACGGAAATGTTAACTTGAAGAATTAATCTATCAACTGCATATGTAATTAATTTCTGGCTAATATTTTTTTTGGAGTACTTACCGGGTAATGTTGGCTCGTCCAAAGTGCTCATGGGGATTCATGTAGGCCTTAAAATAAAATATAAAATGGGTAGCGAAAATAAAAGATGTTGTAGTTCGGGAACGACTACACCTAGTAAGCTATTATCACCAAATAAAATGCATACATGCTGCAAGTCGATGAGAGGCTTGAAAATTTGGCGAACGGCCTGCATCCTAAACGAGAAGATTTTGAAACTAGGTACTAAGATCCGCCATAACAAAGCCAACGTGATCGAAAAATATTCTTTGAATCAATTAACATAATTTTTATATCATTGAATCTATTATAACCATTTATTAGATTGGAAAATCATCTGACAGATCACAAAACGAATGAGGCGAAGAACTACGGACACAGTTTTTGATGAGAAAGAATATACAGACTACACAAAAACGGGAAATTTTTACACACCAACAAATACGGATGAACAGGTACCCATTAACAAAATAACAAACGATGGAAATACAGATAAAAATGATGAGCCAATGAAACGAGTAAGACCAATACAGAACATCCATTATTTTTGCCCTTTAAAGAAAAATTTTTTTTATGGGCACTAACCACAAGGAAAATGAGGATACACAAAAAAGAATCATACATGACTCTAAATGAAAATAAAATTTAAGAAGTCACAAACATGAAAACGGTTAAAATAAGTTAAAGAAAAAATAAATTATCAGAGCTGAATATTCGAAAGTGATTCGGCAAGTGAAGAAGCGACTGTTTGAGCTCTCGGATCCAGTGAAAGATAGCTGAGCCAATTCTTCATGTCTTGCAAGTCTACCGTAGACAAATGAAGTGTTGACGACCATGTTTTCAATAGATGTGTCCACCCCTGACCATCCCACGATACCGATTCCTAAAATATAATTTAAGTTAAAATTTTTTAAATGGTTAAGACTGGGCTAAGACAAACCTTTGAACGAAGCCACAAAAAAAGCTCATGATTTGAAGCTGCTTTTTGACGAGAACACCAGAGCAGCAACGTACACAACAGATCCCGTGCAAACTAAATAATTAGATTAGCCTTTGTAAATAAATAAAAAGTACCGTATTCTTCTCGTTTACAGCTGTTTGTATTTTGGATGCATCAAGACGATTGACAAGGAAAATGAGATGATCGCGCGACTTTTGTGATGCCAAAAACATATCGACAATTGGACACAAATCGGCAGTCAGCTAAACTCAAGATTTAAAAGGAAAAATATCAAAATCCTCACATCATTATAAGTCCTCTTGGAATAAGTTGGAATAGCATCAAAAAGCGAAGTGATCAGAATGTCTCGGACGTTCGGTGGAGAAGCTTCGATGAATTTCTTGAAAATCAATCGACCCTTGCTAATCTAAATTAGAATTGGACAAAAAAACCTAAAGATGGAAACCTGTAACGTTTTTGTGAAGTGTTCTGGTGAGAAAAGCTCGCGATATACAAGCTGCAACGCAGTGCCAACCTCATTTTCGAGGATCTCTCTAAAGTAATGGGTAAAGTAAAAGGAATGATTACAAACCTTTCTTGTGTGGGCAAAGTGAAGGCCAAACGTCGTTTTTCTCTGCAATGGATCAAATGAGCGGCCGCGGATTCGAGTCGGAGCAACATTGTGCGTAATTTCTTCTGTGTAGCCGCTGCCTGTGCGGCAGATTTCTTCTCATCTTCAGCACCCTCTTCTTTGGAAACGTCGATTAACTAAAATTAACTAACTTAACAATTTGCACGACCATTTACACTTGATTTTAAAACAATAAATTTCAATAACACCGACATGTCTTGGATTGTAGACAGTAGAGGAAACTGGTTTTCCCAAAGAGCCGGCAAAGAAAGGTACACGAGTTGTCTCCTTTTTCTCACGTTCGTCACGATCTAAACACACTTGTTATGTCAATGCCAAGCAAAAGCATCACTTTCTTAGCGAATTATCCAGTAACGCCAAAACTAATTGAATCTACCTCGAGGTGTTCCATTGGACGACTGCCGGTCGCTATCTCGAACTCTTTCTCTTTCGCTATCCTTTCGTTCTCGATATTTTTTTCCTCGTTCTTCTCTTTCAGTCAATTGTTCTTCCTTCTTTGGCGATGGCCTCCATCCAGCTGCTAACTGTTTATCTCTCCAACTCTAGATAAAAGAGTAAAATTCGAAAAGTCTGGGCACTTTACCGCATAATAAAAGTCATCTTCATACGGATCGCCCTGACCTTGGCATTGTAGAATTTGAATCTTCACCAGCCATTCCCTTTCTTTGCAAGACATAAAACCGGCGAATGGCTCGAAGGCAAAATCTTCAATCGTTTTCCCAGATGGCATTCCAGGGGCCTAAACATCAAGTTAAAGTAAGGCAGTTTTAATGTTTAATATCATTTAAAACCTACAACACGTCGATTAGAAGGCTTGCGTATGTCCGACATCTGTGAAAGAGCTGGCGAGTGGAGTGGAGGTCGTGGCCCGTGAAATCCCATGTTGTTTGGCGGACCCATCATTGGTGGTGGACCCATCTAAAAACAAAATGTATCTCAAAAAGAACAGCAAACTCCTTACCTGTCGCATTTGTTGAAAGAAGTGACCAACTGGCGGTGGGACTGGCGGTACACCCGGTGGCAAATATGGAATCTTTCCTGCAAATATAAAAATTTAGATGAAATATGTTATAGTGGTACCTGAAAGAAACTCCATCCAAACCGGGACAAAACGCATCAACATCGGTGGAAGTTGGGGTGGCATTGGTGGACGATTCATCATTCCTAAAAAGGCATCTCTTAGAATGAATTCTAGGTTGCAATAAAATTTAGTTTAGCACATTTACCTGGCGGCATCTGATAAGGGCCACGGGGATGTTGCATTTGTGGAGGTGGCATCGATTTGTCGCTTGGTCGAGGTGCGGGCGATTGACCGGACATCTTTTGATGATCTTGTATTTGGGCAAGCGCTTTGGCAATATTTCCCATTGGAGCTCCATCGATATTTTGCTGCTTTTGTGCGGATTGATTTATCAGAGAACGTTCCAATTCTTCGGCACTCAAGGCTCCGGGTGGTACTAAAATATTTTAATTTTAAACAAAAAATAAAAGTAGCCCACATGCAGGAACTTTGGGTAAAGCAAGGGGTAGATTTTCCTCCTTTGGTCGTTGCAAGATTCGAACTGGCTGTTGACTTTTTGGCAGTTGAGAGAACGCGCTTTCGATCGAATCAAGAGTCTTGGCGCCAACTGGCATAGGAGGTGGTCCCGGGAGCCATCGACCTAAACACAGGTACTTTAATTTTGCACACATCATGTTAAATTTCCGGTAAAAAAAGGCACTTTTTAGGCTGCTTCCAATTTAGGGAGCTGAGAGCGGGACCGGCTTGTGGGACGAGAAAGTTCTTTCGCACCGCTGAAGCAGATGGGAAGAGATCCTCGTATGTATCCAAAGCATCAAATGACTCCTTCAATCGATCGTATTCATCCTAAGTTAAAAATAAATGTTGGTTAGAATAGGAAAAGCTTACTCTCTTGGTCGTGTCTCCCCACATATTGAACAGACCATTTGAACTCGAGTCCCACATCGAAGGAATCTTATCCTAAAAGATCAAAGTAAGAAACTTTTTGTTGATCAAACCAATGAATTGAACGTTGGAGCAAATAGTGGAGAATCCATGTTGAATCCGAAAGATGGAAAAACGGGCAGTGGAACTTGTGAAGCATCGGGTGCCTGTTCGTTCGAGCACCCCGGTTGATCCCAGTCTTCTAACCGTAATGATGCCGTCTAAAAAGACCAATAAATAAAGGGAAAAACTTTTCTTTTACCAAGATAAGGGTAAACTCTTCAAAATGTTAAGACTACTGACTTTATTACTGAAAAAGTACCTGCGCAGCATAATCCCCAAGATCAGAGGCGTGAACGGTGGCGACATCGGCTCCAAACGTCTCGTCATTGATCGCATCGATCTCTTCTCCTTCGCCATTTTCATCGTCGTCCGGCAAAGCACCGTAATCGAAATCTTCAACTTCTCGTAAACGGCCGAACTCCATGTCGTTGCAGCAACACTCACATGGATGGTCTAAATAGAGAAATGTATAAATGAATTGGGAAGTTAAATTTTCTGAAAAAAAAAGAAGGAACATGAGTAGTAATTGTACGGCTAGCGGCAATGATGGGTGCGCGAAAGGTTGTGCTAGAAAGGTCAGGTCAAATACAATTGTCATGATAACTTTCTCCAAAATCACTCTCCTTTTAAAGTTTGAATTTACTTGTTGCTTTAATAAACACAAAAGTTTATCTAGATGCATAGGGAGCTTCAAAATTTTAGCGCCTTAAAACTTAACATTTCTAAATTTTTACACCATCCGCCGCGCAACTCAGAAGAAAATCAAAAATTTCCGTCAACTTTCGTTTTATTAAAGCCTTCGTTCTCTGGATATGTCGAGAAATCGTATCAATTCTAAAGTTATTCAATCAAGGTTTGAAATAAAGTAATTTTTAACATAGGCAATTAACAATGCAGCTATAAGATAACTCGCCCATAAAATTTTCTTCATCTTTTACGCATTTCCCTTGATGACAAAAGAAAAGTTTTAAAGCACAGTAAAATGAAACGGTGAATTTACCACAAAAACCCCCAAAAAGCATAAAATCACCCTAGTCTCGAAAACTTCGTAAAAAATGGTGGGAGATTCACGTTTCGCGAGAGAAAAATCACATTTGCGACCGCGCATTGAATCGATCGTACACAGGCAACGTGACAAAGCCGCTCTGGGATCCAGCACTAAATTGAATCGGGGTTAAACGAAAATACGTGAAAATTTGAATCACAAGACGGTTTTCTATATGGGATTTCCTGCGGGGCTTCAATTTTAACGAAATTTCTACTAGCTTGTGATTCATCACCGAGTTTTCGATTTAGAGCATTTTGCTGTAACTCCAGCTCATTTTTGACCCCCATCATCTTTTTAATGTCTCAGGACAACCTTGTTGAGTTTTGTATCCTGCTCGTGCACTTTAATGTACAGACTACAATTACGACTACTTTTTTCTTTTACTATTTTCCCAGTATCGGGGGGGGCAAGTTAAAATCAGGGGTGACACTTACTTTGCATGGTTTTTCACATTTTCCCTCTTTTTCGGTTATTTCTTATTTTTTTTCGTAGTATTAACGTGTCATAATATTATGGCGCATTGGCAGGCAAGCTGTGCGGGGGCCAGTGCTGTAAGCTCTCTGGATGGGATGGCTCAGGTTCAGCCCCAACTACTTCCCGAGAGCTTGCAGCGCTGACCCCCTCCCGGCCTTGCCTAAGTGCACCTCATCTGACAATGCGGTATAATATTATAGCACGCTAATAGTACAGAAAAAAAACCGGAGAAAATTTGCATTGGAAGTGCTACATCCGATACTGGGAAAGTACCCCCTTTTGTTCACCCTTCACCAGATACATTTAATGACGTAAATCTAGTTTGCAGCTGTTATTTTTCTTTTCTTTTTTTCATGTGCTAAACTTCGAACCAATCTCTAGCTTTTAAACCGCTCACAGTTTTTGAAATATCAAATTTATGAGCTGTTTAAAAACTAGAGACTGTTAAACAGAAATTAATTTTCTTTTTTAGGGAATTCGCCAATTTTCGACTTCCCTAGAGCTCGGACCAATTGAAAGGAATGCTATCAAATGATTCGACTCCATATCTTGGAGTAAGCCAACCGATTTCTGTTGCTCCGCCAGATGAAAAGGACATCAAATTGACTCAGGAATTGGATGAAGCTCTTCGTAGCTTGGATTATTTCGAGAGCGACGATGAGCTGCTTCAACGGGTGGAAGTGCTGCGAAACGTGAACATGTTGGTGAAGAAGTGGGTTGTGAAGGTTTCGGAAGCAAAAATGCCGAGAGAAGAATGCGAGAAAGTTGGCGGAAAACTGTTTACATTTGGATCATATCGCTTAGGTGTTCACACAAAGGGTGCTGATATTGATTCCCTTTGTGTTGTTCCAAGGCACATTCAACGATCGGATTTCTTCACGACCTTCTATCAAATGCTCAAGGAACGGGAGGAAGTGGCCGATTTGCACGCTGTTGAAGAAGCTTATGTGCCGTTGATCAAGTTGAAATGGAAGGACATCGAACTGGATATTCTCTTTGCTCGTTTGGCACTCAAAGAAGTACCAGATGATCAACAATTGAACGATGACGTGTTGTTGAAGAATTTGGACGAGAAATGCGTTCGATCGTTGAATGGTTGCCGAGTCGCCGATGAGATTTTGCGACTTGTCCCAAATCAAGAGAACTTTATTTTGACACTTCGGGCGATTAAGTTGTGGGCACGCAATCATGGAATCTATTCGAATGTGGTGGGGTTTTTGGGAGGAGTCACTTGGGCAATTCTTGTTGCTCGAATCTGTCAACTGTATCCAAATGCGGCTCCAGCCAAATTGGTCAATCGCTTTTTCATCGTTTTCAGCACCTGGTCTTGGCCACATCCCGTTCTTCTAAAAGATGTTGACTCATCGCCAAGACCAGACATTCCATCGCTGATCGATTTGGTCTGGGATCCAAGAATTCGTCCAGCTGATCGATACCATTTGATGCCGATCATCACACCAGCTTTTCCTGAACAAAATTCTACTTTCAACGTCACTGTTTCTACAAGGCAAGTGATGATGAACGAATTCGCAGAAGCCAAGACGATTACATCAAATATTTTGAGTAATACCAACACATGGCAAGAGTTCTTCCAGCCTGTCAACTTCTTCACTCGCTACAAACATTTCTTGGTGCTTGTTTGTGCGGCGGCTTCAAAGGAGGAACACCTTGTTTGGGTCGGATTTGTTGAAGCAAACATTCGGCATTTGGTGGCAAATTTGGAAAGGAACAGAGCTGTCAAGCTTTCACACGTGAATCCAAAGCAATATTTGCCGATCAAGCCATACCAATTTCGGATTCCTGAAGTCGATGATCCTGTTTGCTCGATGTGGTTCATCGGACTTGATTTCGATCGCGAATTGGCCAGAAACGTTGATTTCACAAACGAGATCCGGAAATTCAACGAACTGATTGAAAGCAAACGAAACACTCGTCGCCACTCTGGAGAAGAAGCCTACAATAACAAAATGCAGACGTTGGTGACATATGTTCAAAGGAAAATTGTTCACAAATGGTTGACAAAGAAGGATATGACGCAAGGAAGGAAAGTCTCTGCTGCTCCAATCACAAGACAACCAAGTGTTGGATCAAGCAGCCAGGCATCCCCGGTGCCACAAGCAAACAGCGAGCGAATGCGGCGAAACTCTGCAAACATTTCCCTGGATTCGTCGGCATTGTTGGAATCTCCATCAACCTCTTCTCAATCGCCAGCAATCTTCGCTTCTCCAATCGTCACCACGACGGTTTCAAGATTTGCGGAAAATGAGGAGCCACCCGAGAAAAAGATGTGCCATTCAGCGTCGATGCCCAACATGCCACCACAAGCCACATCGGATCGACAAGCTGCCCCGCAATTGCCCTTGGAAAATCCCGAAAACGCGAATGCGGAACATGGCGATAATTTGATGCTTTTGAACAACACTCGAAAGGATGAGTCGGATTTCAACTGGATTTGCGAGCAGTCAAAACGATCCGATTCGACTGCTACAAATGGAAATCAAGATTCTCCAAACCCAATACATGTTTAGTCCGAAACTTGATCTTTGTTATGTGGTAGAAACCGAAAATGTTTTTATAACAGCCATTCAAGAAACTTGAACTTTTTATACGGGTACATTGGATAGTTTAGTTGCAAAAACTTGTTTCTTGATGGCTCATTTGTTCCCAAACGGTTTCTGCCACTTGGTTTATTTGCCCAATTGTTGATAGCTCTTTGAAATTCTTCTTCCCTTTTTTGGTTTCTTTTTTAATTGAGAAATTTCAGATCTGTTTTGGCTAATCTTTTTGGTAAAGATGACTTTTATCATGCTTTGTATAAGCAACTGCCTAATAACACTTGAAAACCCTAAAAAAGTTTCGGTTGTTTTTGTAAAACTTGTGGCATTTTATTTTATCGAAGGAAGAGACGGATCTTTTCGATTTCAGCTAACTTGTATTATTTATTTATTGTTGTCATTTTCTATATATCTTTTCAACATTAAAAGAAGAAATAAAAACAAAAAAATTTAGTGACGCCACACAGCGATAATCGACGATGGGTCTCTTCAAGAATATGGCCAAGGTTTGTTTTTAATAAAGTTACATACAATGTTTGTATTTTTAGAATAAAAAGAAGCATCAAGTCGCCGTGGCAGCAAAAAAGATGAAGAAAGTCTTCAAAAAGAAAGCAAAACAAGATGCCGTGATGGATCAAGAACAAATTGCCGAGGTAATGAATAATACATAACCTATAATTAGCGTTTAGTTGGTTAGCTTTTTTATAAATCCGAAACCTTTTCATTTAAATTACTATAGGTTGTAGGAGCTATGGAAGTCGATCAGTCAACAACAGCAACCACCCCAAAGAAAGTGCCGTTCGTTCGCGAAGGCAAAATAAAAAGAACCCAGCTTCCACTCGTCCCACCATCGCACATTAAGAAGGGGTAAGCATTGAAAAGTCAAGCAAAAAATTTTGATGCAGGTTTAATAAAGTTATTTCCACCATAGATGAAAATGTACGAAAATTGTCTTTTTAGTTCCCAAAAAACAAATACGAAGGCTGAGAAGAAAGGAGGAGTTTTGTTTCAGCGACCATTGACAAAGAAGAAAGCAAGAAAGGTAAGTATTGTGTAAATACGTTGAATAAGCATCTTGTTTCTCATCTGTAATCTCGTTTTAATGTTAAACTTATTTTAGTTGTTGCGTGATCAAACAAGGGAGGAAAGAAATCGTGAAAGAGAAGCAAATCAAATGCAACAATAATAAACTTCAACGTTTTTTTGTTAGATTTATTGTTATCTTTTCTTGTTACCATGTTTTTGTTTTCTATTGGAATAAATCATTACATAAATTTCTTAATGCAAAACGCAGTTTTAATCCGCAAAATACCTAGTCGAACGGGCATTTGTTTGAAATCGTATTTTGATTTCAAATTTAGATAATTTAGGTAAAATGAGTTCTGACGAGGATGATTTTATGAGTGACAAATTTTTGCAAGTACAAGGACTCTGGTCAAGGTAATTTTATCCCCATTGTTTAAAAATGCATCTCTAAAACTCAAACGATGGCTTTTCGGTGTAAAGATCCTGAATTTATATTCAAATTCTAAGCAGATTTTTATAAGAAAGTCTCTATGTCTGCTAAAAGCATCGTTGATGATTTATCTAACACTAATTTTGATCAACTTCAGGTTTGTCAATGTCGTACAATGAGAAGCGACAAAAGCAAATCGAGAAAAATCGTTTTGAGGCTGAGGATCGAGAAAGGGAGTTGCGAAAACCGAAACGAGTTGTGGAAGTTGAACGACGGTTAGTGGATTGATAAAAAGTTTGGTGAAACATTGTAACAATTTTAGTGAAGAAGCGCTAAGCCAACCGCTTGATGAAGAAACAAAGGGATTTCAACTTTTGGTCAAAATGGGGTTCAAGCCCGGAATGAGTCTGGGAAAGAAAAAAGACGGTAAGCTTCTTGAAAGGATATTCTTTTAAAGAGAACTTTAGAAAATGATCTTGGATCTGGTATCAGAGAGCCGATTCCATTGGAAGTGAAGACTGATCGAACCGGTTTGGGACATGGAGCGGCTGAACAAAGTCAAAGTAGGAAAAGACTACAAGCGGTAATGGATAGAATGGCAAAACAAGCACGGATGGCGGTGAGGATTTTGTGTTTAATGTTAAGCTGATTTGATTTGTAGATTTGCATATTGCCTTTTTAGGATGAACTTTCCGATGAATATCGCCAAAAGCGACGCATGGAAACACTTTGTCGAATAATGGTTCGAGCTATCGTGAGGGCTCGAAAAACTTGCGCACAACTCGATTCACAGTAGGTTTGAAAGCAATAATTTTGTTTACCTAAAGCAAGTGTATTGAAGACATTTTAGATGTTCACTCGATGTTCCAATTGTTGACTGGTTTTGGCCATCATATAAACGAGGAAATGAAGACGATGCGCAAGCACTGAAAAGGAGCCAATGTACCGGGTAGCTAACAAGTTTACCGTCCTTGAAACTTTTGAATTTAGATATTTCTACGCTAATAAAACGCCTTGCCCAATTGTTCAACAAAAGTCAACCGATTTGACATCAACCGAATTGTTACAACGGTAAAAGCATTGAAATTAAAGAGTTAAACGAATGTTTAGGATTCGAAAGTTGCACTCACATCTCATCGCTCAATATCTTTATTGTGTCTTTTGTGAAAAAGAATTTATGGAAGAAGAGGAAATGAACATCGATTGCCCGGGAATTGAACAACATGAAGTGAGTGATACATTGGTGAATATGCATTCCTTTTAACTTTTAGCAAGAATTAATGACAAAGTACCAATATAACGGCATTGATGAAATACAGTCAATTTACAAGAATTGCCGTGATGAATGCTTCAAAAAAGATTCTCGGTATGTATTCTTTTTGTTATTAAATTCACACCTTTTCAGCAATGGTATTTCCCAACCAACAATTCCCTGGTTTTGGGATGCAACGTTTAATGCGACTTTAATCGGTCAATTGAGAAAAGAGGAGTTAGAAGCGCAAATGGTAAGGTAATGTTTTTGAATTTTTAAAAAAATGTTTATTGTTCGCATATTTGTTTATTTCCTTTTTCTTTAGATATGTTTACACTAATGGTAGAGACGCTCCGCCCGAACCACGATTCGACGAGTTTCCATTGGACGACTTGAAAGAAAAGTTTGTTTTTTTAAGGTGGCATGAAATTATAGACTACAACTGTTCTTAATGAATTGAGTTCGTCAATTTAAGCTCATGAACACTAAGAAATTCTTATGTTTAGACTAGCTGAAATTGTTGTTTATCTACGAGATCGTCATTATTATTGTCTTGGCTGCGGAACGCAGGTACTTTTTCACTTATCCATTTAAGTCAAGAGTAGTTTTATGAAATGCGAGTTTTCAGTTATCGAATTGTTCTTTTAGGCCGAAAACGCCATGGCACTGGAAAATGTTTGCGATGGCGACCACGATGAAAACGACTATGCTGAAGGATAATTTGGAGATGTCTCAATAAAAATTTTATCCAGCGAATCGAAATAATTTTGGAAGTACATATAGTACAACGCAATTAAGCAAAGCCACAAAAAACGCCAAACAAATCGAAAAATTTAACATAACGTCTCATTTTCCCTAATTTGCATCAAAAATCCCAGAAATTAGCATTAATCCGTCAAATAAAAGGAAATCATTTTGTCGGATGGATATCAGTCTTCTCGACTTCAACCCGACAAGATGGCTCAATCGATCCCACCCGGCGACATCATCACTCAACCCAACGCGAAGGTCGTTTTCAACGCCCCCTACGACGACAAGCACACCTACCACATCAAGGTATGGATTTTTTCGATTTTTGTTTATTTACCCTACTTGCTTATGACCCCTTTTTTGAACTTATTTCCTTGGCATTTATTATTTTTCTTGTTTAGGTGATCAATACTGGCGGTCGTCGTATCGGATGGGCCTTCAAGACCACCAACATGAAGCGCCTTGGAGTCGACCCACCATGCGGTGTTTTGGACCCAAAGGAGGGTGTCCTTGTAAGTTTTATTTCCCTTTGTCTTTGATTTTATTCTACTTCACTGATTGTTTTATTTAGGTTGCCGTCTCGTGCGATGCCTTTGCCTTCGGTCAAGAAGAGACCAACAACGACCGCATCACCATCGAATGGACCAACACCCCCGATGGTGCCGCCAAGCAATTCCGCCGCGAATGGTTCCAAGGGGATGGAATGGTTCGCCGCAAGAATCTCCCCATTGAGTACAACCCATGAATACATTGCTTGCATGGTTCAAATAAATCGTTCCCATTCGTTTCAAAATGCACTTTATCTGAAGTTAAGAGTTATCTCTGGTACAAAGTGTTTGGTAGACACACACATTGAATCGATCGAGTGTTTGATCCCATAGCCTGCAGGGTTTTGCTGATGTGTCAATATTGAACCCAACAATCAATACCAATTTCCTTGCCCAGTCAGCAATAATAACAACTCCCGATACTCTGATAACATTTATTTGGATAGCCGATAACGTGGTAACAGTAAAAATTAAAAAGTTAACAGTAACAACAACGGGGACAAAACTTTGTGCATCAATCACTTATGTGAAGGACCAGCTTCAACGCAACGATCTCCCGATGCACGTTGGCCACCGACGTGTTTGGCTTGAGGGGCAATCAATGGAGTACTCATGGCAACACTCTGAAATGAAAAGAATTAGCTGTGTGTGTTTGCATGTGTTTTGCTTAAAACTTACATTTTGCTGGGCCATGGTGACTTTCACCTTGCTACGTTCCACGTTTACACAGCTAGCTTTCTCCCTAAACAAAGTTCGATAAGTGTACAGAAAATAAACAAACTTGTAGTAGACGTACAAAAGGCAATACACCAAGTATTCCCAGATGTAGAGAGGGACGGAAATGATCAATGCGCCAATGAGCACTAAAAGTTCCTTTAAATTATAATTGTTTCTATTTACCATTGCCTTTCGCGTCGTTGGAGAAGTTTGTTCCCAAAAAGGCGAAGGCAGCTCCAACATAAGGACAACTATAAACAATAAATCTTAGATGGAATGAAATATTTTTCACCTCTTGATCCATCCCTTGAAAAACAAGATTCCAGCCAAACAAAAGCCAATGGCCAATACGTCCAGAATAGGCTAAATATAGCAGGTTTTCGTACAGCTAAATGGTAGACTTACAAGCAAGTAGAGAACGATTTTGCCGGTCTTACGATTTCCCAAAAGTGTAGCCAACATGCATCCAACGAGTACCATCGTAGCAGTAAAGTAGGCCCACTAAAAGGCAGAGTTCAGAAAAATAATAAGATAACATACGCTCGCTGGCTGCTCGAGCAGTATAGCATTCGATAAAGCACCACCAAGAGCAAACAGCTCCACGATGAAGAAGAGCAAGCCAGCAACCTAAACAAGTTTTTAAATGAGAGAAATATTTGTGCTTTGAACTTCAATCCCTAAAAAACTTTCAATCTAGAAAAGGCAAGCGACTACCAACATTTTGGAACTTTGGTAATAAAATTTTTGTATTTAAAACTAGCCTTGACGGAGAGCAAACCACAACAGCACTTATAACGGTTTCTGTCCACGATGAAATTCTGATCGGTGAATGCATCGAAATGGTCACGAATTGCCATTTTGAAGCGATTCGGTTTCTAGAACAACTTTACAAACAAATTCTGGCAAAACCGATTAAAACTTATCAAGTACTCGATTGATGGCTTTTACATTTGCAATATACAAAAAGCTGATCAAATATCGACCGACACTAATCATTTACAACAACAGACCAGTAAAAGTAACTTTTTATTAAGGAAACAAAGTTGCAACAACAATAACGCGAATAAATAGAAAACAAAATGTGCAAATTACTAAATTTGGGCTTCCATAAGCATAATGTTGTTTGGCCAAAGGAGTTAATGTTTAATGTTTCAGTGGCTCCAACATTTCAATGGCTTTCTAAACAGAAAGTAGTAGAATAGCAAAAACGTAAAGCTCACCTCATGCTTGTGTGTGAATGTATCATCAAAGCCGACTTCCGTTTGGGTAGACTTAACTCTGAAGTACATATTATAAGTAACCAATAAAAAGTTGAAAATACTTCAGGTAGTTGCTATAAATCCAGAACACCCAGATGATCAATGCGGTGATGAGAATGTAGAAGACCAAGCCAACAGCCATACCTTGAAGCGAAAAAATAAAAAATAACTTTAAGACGACAAACCAGTGCCGACCCGATACTCTTTTGAAATATAGTATGGCAGATTCTTGCAAGCACCCCTTTAAAGAAATTATTTTTACGCCATACACTCAAAACTTACAAAACTTCATTGTAGCACAAAGTTATCCAAGTAAAATAGGGAACTGCCAGCACATTATAGAAAAGCTAAAAAAAAAAATTTTTGATAAACGTAAAAGTGCACCTCGTAAACAAAGAGTGCACGGGCCGCAACGAGATTCTCCAGAAGGGCACCAATCATCAGGCCGATGGAAATGAGCTTAACACCGAAAGAGACCCACTAAAAAGGCGATTTTACAAGGCATTTCAGTAAAAATCTCACATTTACAAGTGTGCCGCTGTGAATGCTGCAAGCCAGGGTGAAGATCATTGAGAATAGTTCGAAGACAAAGAGCACCCACATCGCGGCCTAAAGCAACAGATCATTATCAGTAATTTACGGCAATGGGGCAAATAAGAATAGACAACGTTGCAAAGTAGATGAAATACAACGAATGATCAACTAAAGCTCAGTTATGTCGCTCGTTAACATCATGCAATTCAGATAATTTTCTCCTACTTTCGGTACCTCGGTAACAAAGCACGAATTTCATAGCCTATAAGTACTTTGGTAATAGAAACCTCGGGCTGATAATCGCAGCTGCTGACAGTCGTATAAGCCTACCATAAATTACGAAGCTTTTGTTAAAATTATCTGCGACACAGGTTTGGCTGACCAGGACGTAACTTTCAATAATCACTATGTACTCAGTGTTCGCAAAAAAAAGAACAATTTAAAACCAATTGCGCTTTTATAGTAACATCTTCAAAAAACTACCTTAACACGACAGAAGCGGCTTTCGAAGCGAGCGACATCCTCAGCTCGAGACGGACGGAAATAGTTCTCCATTTTGTTGCAAATCCTTTGATTTCTAAATAAAACCAATTAATTACATACATAAATAGTGATAAAAATGATAAACAGGCAAGAAGAGTTGAAAGCATTAGGAAAAACTCGAAACTCGATCAAATGTAACTAAACAGTGATCTCTCAAATTTCCAGTTTTGTTTGATTAAAATTTGGGGGGCTGCTTAAAGCTCAAAAAGCTCAACTTTGATAAATTTCTCGCATCTTCGGGATTTCGCTACTTTACGGAAACAGGGGCAGCAAAATGAAAGAATGAGAGATAAAAATGCGGCTTCGAGCAAATATACTGTAATGTCGCGAATTACGGTATGCAGTTTTCACCAACAATCATTTTATCCACACTTTAGCATTTTTCGCATTTTTCGCCCTGGTTCAGTTGTGCATTTGTATGCAAGTTTTTCGGGGTGCTAGCAAAAGCGCCAAATTATTTGCGCCAAAAATTCTTACGCCACGTATCATTTCTGCCAAATTTGCGCTTTTCAACACACTTTTCTACCAACTCTGATTGACCATTTATATTTTTTTCAGTTTTTCCTCATTGACGATGCTCGCTATTTTGCCGCCTTCACCGGCTCTGAAAATGGCATAAGATCGATATAGAGAGTAAAAATCCCAATCCGGGACACAAAAATGACTGTTTTTGGGGTCTGTATAGGTATTTAAACTTGTTTTCTAATTGAAAGCAGTGAGAACTACAATTGTGAAGCAGAAAACTGAAAAAAAAGTTGGTTAGACGTTGGGAAAAAGTGATTTTCATAAGCGTAAATTTGGCGCAAATGATACGCAGAGCAAAAAACGCGGCGCTTTTGCTAGCACCTCAGCTTTTCATGAAACTTAAAAATCTTGATTTGGCTTATTGTCGTGTTCAGGGGACTGTAATCTGTAAAAGTCTCATTTTCAACAATTAAGATAGTTTTTTGGAAGATGTTTGTGTATTCTGAAAATTGACATGTTTTTCCCAAAATGGGATGCAGTAGCTAGAGCGATTTTTATTCAACTCAAAATCTATCAATTGTATACCCTAATCAACTATTATTTATCACTAATTAAATATAAGAGAAGTAAGTGAGAATCACAAAGGGAAATTTCCATGAGTTATTTGTGAATCATCATCACATGATAATAAAGTAAAGGAAATAAGGAAATTTGAATGAGAAAAAGAGTCATTATTGTTTTTTCTCGTTGTCGTCGTCTCATCGATCACTCAATCACCCCCAATTTCGGCCGTTTCCATTTGAGTCCGATCCAAGTCCAACTAAAAACAAAATGGAAAAAGGGAAATAATCTTAAAGATATTTTAATGGCTAAAGGGAGCTTGCCTGAATTTTGAGGCAGCCTTCTCCTTCCTCACTTTAGCACGACACGATAATAAATAGGCCAAATTAAAGCGGGATTTTGGGGTCTAGAAAAATGACATGGAGTATTGACAAAGCCCAGGCAAGCTCTTCACAGAAATTACATTCAAAAACTTCCCCCCTCCCCTCAATAATTGATCCACTCACCTCAGATTCCTTTCCCACTGCCGTCCGCAAATCTGTGAATGATTGAGTGGCGAAAGCGGTGTGGAGATCCTCTTCCGAGATGCAATACGCCGTCAAAACATTTTAAAAGGAAACCTAATCCAAATAAGATTTAAAAGTAACTCACCACGAGATTATCATAACTGCAAGCACCCGCACTCAACTATAAAAAGAGAATAAAAAAAATAACAATATCTCAATGACCTGTTTGACAGCCGTAAGCAAATCCTCATCTGGTTCAACAAGTCTCTGTAACATCGAGAAGATTATGAAATCAAGTCCATAAGACTCACCTCATCGACGTCTTGCGCTACCTTTTTCTGCTGTTTTGGACAAGCTAACTTTGGTGTCACAATCTAAGAAAATAATTTTAAATATCGAAAACCCAAAGAAAACCTCCGCGGCAGTTGTGCAATCAGCAGTGACGATTTCATTGGTAGGCAACTAAAAATCCAAACAGCTTTAAAAGAGCATTAACTTCCAACCCCATGACGCGAATCAGCCGTTTTTGCCGTCATAACTGATGCAATCTAAAGATGCAAGTCATTATACTTAATCAAAATGAAAACCTCTTGAGCAGTTGGACATAATGGAGATTGGGTAACTGGATTCACAAAAGATTTCTAAAATAGATTATTAAAGATGAAATCATCAAATCGCATACATCATCGGTGACGGTCGTGTTGGCAAACATTGAACGAGTCTCGCTTTCGGTGATCTGCAGGAAAAAAAAAACTATTCTCAAAAAATGAAACTACAAGATGCACTTGGAGTAAAACAATGGTATGAATCAACAACCTCAACACGTGCACTCGAGGAGACAGCTTGAACGGACACACCGGTTTCGTTTAGTAGAGGTTCGGGAGCGGACACAAACGAGTCAGCTGAGTAAGAGAGATGAGTGGGAAGATCCTGAAGTGTGTAATAAAATGGATACCAGTGAAAGCTCATACCAAATCGTAGAAGAGGGTAAAGCTGTTCTCATTTCTTTTCTTGTTAAATGATGGATCGACGTCGATACTCTCCAAATCGCTCATTTCCTCCTTCCGTACAAGCATCATCGGCACAAACTAAGATAAAAGTTATCCTACTTATTATAACCGAGAGAGTATGTGTGTGTGTCTGTTCTGCTGTTTTAGAAACAACGGCTAAACCAATCGATCTGAAAGTTTCACATTACAAACCTAACTTTTTACGTAATTTTCAAAAATTCAATAATATTTGACACATAGTTTGACCGTTTTTCCTAAAAAGCGAAATTAAAGAATACATGCTACCGCGTGACCGAGTGGTAGTGCGTCCCGGCGTTCGATCTGCCAAGTTGAGCAACGTTGGGCTCGGTTAGTCTCGGGTTCGATCCCGGCCCAATGCAATCTTTTTTGCTTTCTTTGTTCTTACACTATTTGAAGAAGAAAGGTCATGGTTTCGATTCCTCTAGGGGTGAAAAAAATTAAATCCGTCTGCACAGAGCCAGAAAAACCCGCCGCTAGGCGGGTTTTTCTGGCTGGTAATGAATAATATGCAAATCAGGTGGATACTTCATGTTTATGGATCGATCTGCGCAGTCCGTGAAGATCGTTGAGAAATTCCTCAAAAAGAGCGCCTTCGGGAAACGTTTCGGTCAGCCTTCCCACCATTTTCACCCAACCACCCAAAATGGCAAGCTTTTGAAGGTTCTAAAACGGGTTCCCAGTAAAGTATTATGGGCAAACCTCACCTTTTTAACAATGTCACGATTCCAAATGGTAGGGTTGAATTGTGTTTTGAATGGAACTTGAAGAGTAGCAGATAGTTGTGCTTGAGCTTCCAACAGCTTTTCTACCTAAAAGCGCAAATAAAAAGTATCATCGACAAAATTATCAAACATCATTATCCAACATTTGCTTGAG